CCAGAAAGAAATAAAGTGGAGTTTGTTGGGGCCTGTCCGCAGCCCGCAGCCCACACGCCCCAGTCTCTCGATCCAGGACCTCTTTGTGGCCCGTTCACCTTTGCGACACAAACGCCAGACCAACGGTGACGCCGAGGAGCGAATGAAATCAAGGGGAGACAAATAGACATAAACGACAAAGAGTACGACGTGCGGAGTGCAGTATGTGAGAATGATCCGTCGTCAGCGGCAAAAAGAGCAAGGGACAGACCATGGTTGAAGGGTGCCAACATTGTTTATCAAAACGTAACGAAGAATGACTCGACGCAACAGAAAAACGTGTTCGATGCAGTGCAAAGATACAAGCGTGCTCCGAGCTTCTGGATGATGTGCCTCCCAGCTCCCTTTTATGTCTTCGTAATTCGCTTTCGTTGCCCCTTTCCCGACGGCCAGCCGACATCTCTGCTCGCCGAGTCGACACTGCGAGATGCTCCCTCTCCGTGCCCTTTCTCGGTGCCCGGACTCCCCGGCCTGTCGATTTTAACCTGTCCCCTTGCCCCTCGCCCCTTTCCCACGTCCTCCATACCCGTACCTTTGTGCATTGTCATGCCCTGCTCATAATTACTGGATGCCGGAACACCAACAGTTTGAAGCGCAAAGACAATGTCCGGTCTTTTGAAGATCTATGAGCCGGAAGCACTCTTTTGCTGCAATAAGTGTGACGTACAGTGTACAATTGAGTGCGCCCTTTGTATGGAGTACTACTATCGTGCGTACTGGTTTGTGTTATATGATTTATTGGTTTAGCCCACCGGCACATTGTACCTAGTCCTTAAACTTTGAACTTTTCACCGTCATACCTCATTTTCTTTTTTGCCGTCCTTCCTGCTCGCATGCCGCATCCTCCCAATGCAGGTGCAGGCGCAGGAGTGGGTTCAGGATGCTTGGGCGCGGCGCCAGGGTGCGATGGCGCGAAGGGCGTGTTCAGGAGGTGTTGATGGGGGGGACACTGCATTTGAAGGAAGAGGGAGGACATCTAGTTGGAGCAAAACGACTCGTGCTGCCCCACAGGCGGCTCTCCAGCCGTGGAGACAGGTTTGGGGGTTGGAGGACGTCCTAATCGACGGCGCCGTACGACTGTCTCTGTCATTTTGACTCGCACGTCGTCGTCGTACATTGTTGTGGCGCTCGTGCCCAAATCGTCAAAGGATTGGCTGGCCGTTTGGGCGCCTTTTCCTTTGTCCTTGTCCTTTTCGTCACGTTGATCAAAGTATCCGTACTTTGTTTTTGCTGCACGGTGCGTCTTGCATGGACAAGACCCTCCTCGCCTATTCCTTCCCATCTTTCCGCTCGTCACCCGTCTGCGGTCCCCACTCGCTTTCTACATATATGGTTACTGCAAAAACTGTTTGGCGTGCTCTTGTTGGAGCCTTTGCCTCCTATTGGGGCGCCTTCGCGTCTTCAACTTCTTCCCTGCGGTTTTTCTCTGGCCAAGCATTCCAAGGACGTCGTCCGCCATTACAAGCATATCACCACCCCGGCGGACTGTGGCGTTCTTGGGCCGTTCTTGGGCTGTTCTTGGGAACTTCTTCGGCGGTCTTGGGAGCGTCTTGGGAACTTCTTGGGCGCTCTTGGACGCGATGACGAGTGAAGGAAAGTGGACTTGACTGATGTAACTGAATCGTACTTGGGCAGTTGTGAAAAGGATATGGACGCAGACACCACAACCATGCAGTCTGCAAGTACGTTGTGTTACGTACATTGTTAAGCCGGTGGAAGTCATCGGCACAAAGGGACAACAGGCAGAATACGCTGGATACGAATCAGGAGACAAAATACTTTGCAATAACGTGTTCCTACTCGTGAAAAAGGAATCTAAAGCAACACACACAACCACTGCAGCCAGTCAACCTAATGTGGCGCCTGGCAGATTAGGGGCCGCTGTTGCGGCCCTCTCAGCTGTTTTATGCCCCTGCAGTAGGCCGCTTGTTTGCTGCAAGACCATGCTGCCCTTCCTTTCTGGGGGCCCAGGAGCCAGGCCAACCCACTTTTACGGAGAAATCAGTGGCACAAGATTCCGTCAGTTGTCCATTGACACGGCGAGTGTAATTACTCCATACATCGTACACAGTTTGTTTTCAAAGGACGCCTGTTCAGCGCCACGAATAAGCATACAATACAAAACAATGCAAGGACGGCCTCACTGAGAGGCCCGGTATGTGTTCGGGCGCAGACTGTTTTTCTTGTCTTTCTTCATTTGCGGAGAACAAAAAAAAGGCGTCCACGAACGTGGTTACAGGAACAAGAAAAAGAAAGCAAACAAAAGAAAAATATGCTTATCCCCTCTCCAAAAAGAGGCAAACCATACGGGCCCTGTATTACTCTGTACTTACATGAACACGGGCGGGGGGGAATGTTCAGATCGCTGAAGGAAAAGGAAGAATAGAACAAAAAAGAACAATAAAAGAAGGAAAAGAAAACAATGAGGGCCGATAAGCGAAATTGCGCTTCGAAAGAGACAGTGTAAAAGTTCAGCAGGTTGCGGCGACGATAACGTCTATGGCGACAGCTACAACCAAGACATGACGTGCCTCCTTTTGTGGTGTGTGATGCGAGTGAACCAGGCCTCGTTGGCTTGGGCCTTCTGGTCCCAACTTGCCGGAGAGGACACTCCAGAGCGTTCTTGGGAAGAAGGCAGATGATGCGTGCAGGCCCCCTGGTATATTCTCTTAGCTGGCGTTCAGTTATCTGGCGGCGGCGGGTGCTGTGGGAGGGCTCACTTGGAGGCTCGTGGTGCTGGGCCACGGTGCAACGAGCGACGTTTGTCGACGTTTGTCGAGGCGCCTCAACTCCAACTGTCAGTTCCGACCCAAGTACGATAGTACTCCGTAAGATACGAGCGTAGTTGACGCCTGCAGTCGTATCGAATCATTGGTCGGCTTTTGGTTTGCCAATTCTCTGTTTCTACTTTGGCTGTTGGGTTGCTCCATTTTCTTATTTCTTTTTCCTGCTTTCACCTCATTTTTCGTTTTCCGCCCCCCTCATCATTTTCAAACAGTATTGCGGCGTATTTTGGAGCATGCTCGTTGCGGCTTGACCCGGCCAAGTCTCCGTTCCCTTGGCCATCGCCTCGCAAGCTTTCCTGGCGTTGTTTTGGTGCAAACATAGAAATCCAGCCCAGCCTTGTCACGGCCTCAGCCACTGCGCAGCTGGACAACAATAGCCATTGGCCGGTCCCACCGAATCCCCCCCCCTGGTCGCCCCTCTACTGGCTCTTCTGGGGGCCCGTTTTGTGCTGTTTGCGCTTTCTCTCCACACCAATTAAGTGTCCCTCTTGGTCCAGGCCTTGTGCACCGTCCTTCTGCCTCCCTCCCCTCGTCCCTCCTTCATGCAACACCAGCAGAGGCACATCCGAAAGGATAGCACACGTCTTTCTTCTTCCAGAATGGTACTAACGTGGACCTTGGGAGGAGGCGCTGTAATGGCACTGCAATGCCGCCTGGGAGGTCGGAATTCAAAAAAGCACAAGACACGAAGGGCGACGAACCAACTCCACGCAAACAAGGCCTCGCCGACATGAAGCACTTCCGAATATAAAACAAATGGGCCAGCGTACCGAGCCTTCCTTTCCTTTCGTCGGTCCAAGTGGCCGTATCATCTCTCGAACATCTCTTGAACATCCCCTCGCCCATCATCTGCCGTGTGCAAGAGATTCAAGCAAAAGGTGAAGACCAGCAAGGCCAAGCAGGACAAAAGACTGGAAAACACACTGGTTGGTCCATAGAAAAACACACAACTCTCTGCAGCCTCTTAAAAGCTACCCACTCCCATCTTGAATATATTCTGCACCTGCTCGTCTCTTTCATTTTGCTTTTCTCCCACCTGCACCTTCCCGCTCCTGTCAGTCTGTCCTGGTCGCTTGCTTCCCTGTCTGGCTTTATCTTACACGCCTACTTCAGTCCTGACAGGCCAAAAACCCACACCTGCCGCCACTCACAACCGCCCTCCCCCTCCGCTCACCACGCTCCTTCCTCTTTACTTCCCACCGGCGTTGCTATCCTGCTCCTTCCCTCTTGCTCTCTAGCTCTCTAGCTCTCTTGCTCTCTTGCTCTCCCGCTGAGCTGCTTAGCCCGTGGTCGCTCTTTCCTGTTACGTCACAACCTGTGGTAGTATAAGTAGATTCTGCTGCCAGCCTTCCTCGCATCGCCGCCCTCCCTACACCCCCCCCTCCTCCTCTCTCGCCTCTTCTCTTCTCCTCCCTGGTGCACGGTTGATGGGGTGTATATGATTATCCTCTATGTGATCTCGACTCCTCTCTCCACGGTCTGTCTGTTCTGCGTGCCCAGTCTTTAGTCTCCTCCAACAGATAGCTCCCAGCTCTCTGTCCCTGACTCGCGCGAGGTCAACTCTGATTATATTATATTGTCCTCCCACCTCCCATTCCCCTCGTCTTTTTCTTTCTCTCTCTTCCCTTCCGCTTTTATCACACCTATTCCTTTTATTTGTTTTCCCTCTGCCCGTTCTCGTCCTCATCATCGCCCTGCTTCTCAAACATCGTCCTCTTCTCTTTCTTCTTCTCGTCCTATCCCTCTCGGGGCTTTTCGTTGTCATCGCACAGAAGCAACACCGACGAAGACTGTCGATATACCAAATAACACAACGCAGCCACCAGCACTTACTTGCACCAACACAACACACATCGAGAACATCGTCGCCGCCAACAGTTCGGCAACACAGCGACGACGATTACTACCACTACATAGGTCCTCCGTGTTGATGTTTCACCAAAAGGTCGCTTTTGGTAGACAGGCTCTGGTCGTCCTCTTTTTGCTGGACAGTTTCTACCCGGACGGCCCCCTCTCACTGACCTAACGCTGTCGACGGGGCGAGCTGCCCCCGTCAGCAAAACCGATCATATCGACGGTTTTCCTCCCTCGCGGAATCAACAAAGTCAACACGGATCGTTCGTCGGGGCAATCGTATAGCTGAGTACTGACCGTCGATCTGCAATTTTCGGGACAATGGCTTCACACCAACATCACGCCCGCAACGTCCAAATCGGTGCGGCCCCGGCCCAGGCGAAGAAGAATGTGAACAACAGAGTCAAACAACGTGCATACTAACATCAATCGTCTCCTCACAGGTCGCGTAAGCGGTGGCACCGACATGTTTGGCCACATCCAGCCACGCTACAACAATCCTGTCCTTCACCCCCCCGGTCACATACCGACTGACGATGTCGACGCCAATGCCGACGCCACCACCCACGCTCCCATCAAAATGGATACATCCACAAACATGACGGCCTCGCGGTCGTCCCCGGCCACTGCTGGGACCGGGACAGTCAGTGTCTGCCCCGCTTGCAAACGTACGTTTAAGCGCCGCTGCGACCTCAACCGCCACCGGCGCACGCACACACGGCCATTCAAGTGCCAGATGCCCAACTGTGAGTACAGCAGGCGCGGCTTTCCTACATCCCAGGAGCTCCAGCGACACATGGACGACCGGCACTCGGACAAGCCACCCACTTTCCACTGCTCCTTCGAGGGCTGCAACTACAGCTCCAAGCGCGAGTCGAACTGCAAGCAGCACATGGAGAAGACACACGGCTGGACGTACGACCGCAGCCGGCACAACAACGGCAGCAATGCGGCGGCTCGTGCCAACAGCAATGACAACATTGCTCACGATCACGAGTATGGCAGCGAAATCGACGCTGCCGCTGCCGCTGCCACTGCTGCTGCCGCTAACGCTGACGCTGATGCTGATGCTGACGGGGAGACCGAGAGCGTCCAGACGAAGCACAAGGAAGAGTATGGCGACGATGATGAGGTTGCTCACAACTACGCCATGCCGGCACTCGCTGCCTCCTCCACGTTGTCGCCCACCGGAGAGGACTATGCACTGCACCAGCAGCAGCTGCTTCAATACCAGCAGCTGCAACAGTTCAACAACTCTCTCTCTCACGCCTCGAGTCCCATGCCGATGATGAGCGGCGAGGCCGATTTCATCCTGTACCCGGACAACCAGCCCCAGCAGATTACGCTGGGCAGCGGTGCCACAGCAGCACTAGCAGCAGATGGAAGCGTCGTCTATACCACCACCGACACCCTCACCACCAGCGCTGCGGCAGCCAACCTCGGGGCTGCCAACGCCTCCCCGGCCGCCGATGCCATCTCCAACTCGTATGTGCCGTGGGAATCACCTCTCACACAGCAGGAGGAAATCTCCAATCTCATCCGCACCACGTCACGTCGCTTCGACATGCAGTCTCAGCAGCAAAAGATGCATACTCAGACGCCCCCCGCACGCCCACTCGCCCACGCCCAGGCACAACGGGTCCCGGTCGCATCAGTGTACCCTCAAGCCATCGGCTACTTCGCACCGGCCAACTACCATACCTCCCAGGTGCCGTTGCCGACGTCGGTGCCTGGCTCGACCGCGCCTTCTGCTGCAGCCGCTGGTGACTACGCTGCAGCCTTTTCCCCTTCGACGCCTTTCATGGGCACACCTCACGCCTTCCAGCATCAGCAGAGCGCTGCCTATATATCCCCTCAAACTCCTTTAGTCGGCGTGCCTACACTCTTCACGCAAGCATGGCCGGCGCTACTTTCTACCACAACAGCTCAAACGCAACAGCAACTGCATGTCTTTGCCGAGCAGACCGCCGCCCTCCGCCAGCAAGCCCGTGCCAAAGCTGAGGCGGTTGAGGCGGCACAGGCACCGTCACCGGCGAAAATGATGCCGATGACGCAGGAAATTGCCACAGCCGCCGCTGGTGAAAGAGGCATTAAACGTGACCACGATACCTATCAGCGGGACACCAACAACACGGCAAACGAGGACAATACGCACGGTCATAACGACGACAGCGGTGGTGACGACGACGACGAAGAGATGGACGGCAACGACGGCCAACCGCCTCACCCTCCCCAAGACGTTCACAACAATGCCGACAACTTCGACGACGACCATATGCCGTGCCCTTACCACCAAACCGATCCGGGATACTACTACCGCGACAATGAGGAGCGCTTCTCGCCGTGCCACACCCAGCACCGCTACATTTCTACCCTGTTGTATGTGTGCAAAATCCCACGTGTTTATGTTATATTGCTGTTTGTACTGTGCTAATTCTTCTGCTTCTAGCCGCCACCTTGGACGCGCAGCGCACAACCTCATCATTACCGAGAATAGTGCGTCGTCCTTTGGTGTCCGCGAGTCTGGGAATCGGCCCCAGCTGCAGGCTGGTCTCTGCCGTCGTTGCTGGACCTCATTTACGGACCAGGCCGCCTTCAACACCCACGTTGAGATGGGCCGGCCCTGCGCCCGAGCCTCGCGAAGCAAGCGTGAGAAGTACAGCCAGATTCTGCGTACATTTTGCACACCTCGGCCTGAGACTACGACCGCGGCGCCGGCTCCAGGTACTAGACCTGCTACTCCCGCCCCTACTGCCCCAGGGCCTCGAGCCGTGCAGCTTGCTCGTCAGCCGGCTGCGTCAATTGAGGACAACGCCGGCCGCTTAGTACCGCCGCAGGTTCAGGTGCAGGTGGGTCAGGCACAAGTCGCTCCCACCGTTGCCGCTTCCGCAGCGGGTGCTACTGCGGACCCCAGGAGCCCAGATGTCAAGGTCTCGCCCACGCAACAGGAGGTACAGGCTCGGTCCAAAATCCTGGCCGATTGCAATCCTAACCGCAACCAATTCCCTGTCCAGGGCCGTGCCCACCCCCTGCACAAGCACAACAACTCGGTCGAGAGCTCGACCCTGGCCGACGCCGACTTCTATGTGTCGCGCACCGAGTTCCAGGGCTTTACCCAGAGCGTCACCCAGAAAATCAGCGCCCTCGAAGCTCTCGTGCAGCAAATTGGCACCGGCGTTGGCTCCGCCATTGCCCCGGCCACGACACGCGCTGCAGCTTCATCTTCGTCCACCCATCCTCCCTCCTCGCTTGGCCCTGGCCCTGCCCGGTCGGTCATCAGTGCTATCCAGACCGATGCCGGCGCCCACGAGCGCGGAAGTCTGGTGAGGGAGATGGACCGCCAGACGATCCTGGAAGAGGACGATAATGCGGATGACACCAGCTGTAGCAATCGCCGTCGCCACCGTCAGACCCACCTTGGTCACCAGTCCCAGGAGTCACGGGCGTCTATGCCCGTGGCTGCCCTCGATGCCAACCAGATGCTCGCCGGCATTGGTGAGCCGCTACGCACACTGTCAGGCTTGTCATCGACCTCCGATGGTTCGTCTGTGCTTCACGTCCCGCCACCGGCTTCGGTGTCCGAGGACAATTCGCGGTCACGCCAACGGCGCCAGCAGCAGCAGCAAGCCCAAGGTGGTCTACCTGGCGACATTCGCCGGCCCCAGCAATTGGTCCGACAGCTGGAGCAGCTGGGACAACAGGGTGAGCAGCAGCAAGCCCAACCTGTTGGCCGCCAGCGTCATCACAATGAGGAGGCTGAGACGTTGCCCGACACGGCACCTGAGACAGTGGCGGACTCGGGCTACGTCAGCAGCGATAACAAGAACCCACATCATCAAAACCGGTCGGACTACTCCGCGATGGGCACCCTGCCGGTCGTCCACGAGGTCGCCGCCCCAACCGCTTCATTTGGCTCCCTCCTCGGCCTTGCGGCTAAGGACGTGGACGACGAGAACAATCCCGTCAATGCCGATATTGACGATGGTGTGCAACCGCCCTCCATGTTTGACGCCGAGCACCGTGACGACTTTGATGAGACCGACGTCCTATGGTGAAGACGATGACATGTCTCCTTGAGAATTTTTTTCTTTGCATTTTCTCAGCATTTCTTCCTTCTTTTCTACCTACCCGCCAATTCGCGTTATACAATAATACCCTGACGATCATCAGCGTTTGACGGACTTTGATGCCCCTTTTTTGCTTTTGGATGTACCACCTGGATCATTTGCTTTGCTGCTTTTGGGCTTGGAATCAGGTGGTGTCGCCTCCTGGGTATGTTTATTGACGAGTTCGGCGCGTGGCGTTTATTTTACCTTTTTACTTTTCACTATTTTCCTCTTTACTTTTTGCCTTTCTACTTTTTACTTTTCATCCCTCCTTTGTAATTTCATCTTGCTTTTCGTCTTCGGTTCCTGCTTCGCCTTCTGTTAATCCCTTTTTTTATTTCCTTCTTAGTGTCGCCTGACACCCACTTGCTTTACCGGTTATACTCTACTCTGTGGCTTGTTTTTACTTTTGCTTCGTCTTGGACTTTGTTCTGCTTTTCGGCTTTGCTTTTTTATCGCGTATAGACCAGGATCACAATGGGCATTAGACAAAACGGGGCAACCCAAAAACCTGGACAGGCATTTTGGCCTTTCACGTCCAACTACTGGATTGTGTCCAGGTTCTACTCTCCAGCAGCTTTGTTCATGCCACTTCTGGGCTGCATACCGGCGGCAGCATCGGGAGAGCATGAGCAAACACTGTGGCAGGGCAAGAACAAACAGAACACACTTATGTCATACAGAAACACTTATTTTTATTTCCAGACGGCAAGGGCGGCCTTGCCGGCATCTGATCTTGCCCTTTCTTCCCTTTACTTTCGTTCTTGGATCATCTTCGGATTTTCATTTTTGACAACCTTTTCATTCCCATTCGTACATCCTCGGTCTTGGTTTGGCACATTTTGGTTATTTGCTCTTTATATTTTCCTACTTTTACGGTGGCGGCTGTACGATGCAACACGACTATATACACTTTTTTTTTGTTGCTGTTTCTTTACGAGGGCCTATTCTTAAGTCAGTCTTTAAAGCAGGTCATATGGAAATCCAAGAGAACCTACAGCACAAGAAGTAAGCGAAGCTTGACGAACAACCAGGTGCAAAAATATTATGCTCTCTATGCTCTTTTAATCGACAAATGCCAGTATGTACATGTAATACACGCGAGCCGATGAACTGCCTCCCGTCCTCCACCCCTGTTTCAAGTAGGAATAACAAAAGGAAGAGAAGAAAAACAAAAGCAGACAAATCAACAGACAAGCTAACAAAAAAAAAAAGGTCTCTACTGCGCCGAGTCTGAACACGCACCAAAGCCCGGCTGACATGTCGCGCCACAGTAGTCGGCGCTCCGGCCGCAGAATCCGCTGACCGAGCAGCAGTCGCCGAAACGGCTTCCCAGGCAGGTAACGCCGTTACCGCAATCGCCGTCGACCGTCTTTTTCAGGCTGCCCGTCTCTGTCGGTTTCGCCGGAGACGATCCACCATTCCCCTTCCCAGGCGGGCCGATCGGGTTGTCCGGGACGAGGCTGGAGTCGGGGTTGCCGCTCGTCGCCGTCGACGTGGGACGGCCGGTGCGCCGAGTGGAGGTTGTCCGGCGAATGGTGGTCGACGGGAACCCCGTGGGACTGTGGGACGCGGTCGGCTTGCTGGGCGCGGACGTGGTCGGCCCACCACCGGCGCCGCCCCCGGAGGACGACCCGGATCCTTGACGGTACCAGTTCTCCTTGGGGTCGCCGAGGCACTCGCCGACGGTCACAGACCGCCAGCCGCGGGCAAACAGGCTGGTGAGGACATAGTCTGTCAGGTTGTAGACGGTCTGGTAGTGGATGTCGTGCTCAATCATGAGGTACTGCGACCTGGCGGGGGTGGCCTTGTCCATGGCCTCGTCCCAGATGTCCTTGCTGTTCTGGATGAGCTTCTTGTCGTCGTTGAGGTAGCCCTCGGTGTCGAGGTCAAAGTAGATGACGTGGTAGCCGAGGTCGGACAGGGCCTTTTGGCAGGCGGACTCGCAGATGGAGTAGGGCGGGCGCATGTAGGCGGGAAAGAAGCCGAGGATGTCGTTGAAGGCGATCTCGTTCCAGATGATCTGGTTGCGGTACTGGGCGGCGGTGAGCTGGCTGGCGTTTTGGTGAGACCACGTATGGCTGGCAACCTGGTGGCCTTCGGCGACCATTCTCTAAGATGTGCTTTAGTGAGCGGGACGGCACGAGAGCGCCGAAACGCGAGCGGAGCGAGGAATAACAAAATAATAAAACAATAAAATAAAAGAGAGAGAGAGAGAGAGAAAGAGAACAAAAACGAGAAAAACGTACACGGATAAAGCCTGCCCACGGTTTGGAGTAGTCGTTGATCATGCCCTTGCCCAGGTTGTTGCCCGTGATGAAAAAGGTCGCCTTGGCGCCGTACGCCGCAAACTTGTCGAGCAGATCGCCCGTGAAGTTGTACGGCCCGTCGTCAAACGTGATGGCAATGTCGCCCTTCTTGACGCAGTCATAGATGCCGAGGCCACCGTACAGCACCGAGCCAACGTGCGGCCGCGGCACGTTGGACGTGTCCACGCCCTCGGGCTTCTGGTTGGCGTCGCAGCCGGACCCGTAGTTTATCAGGCAGTCGGGCGCCGAGCAGTAGTCGGGCGTCAGGCCGCACCAGCCTTCGGGCGAGCAGCAGTATCCCTGGGCACAGCTGCCAGCACCGGGCCCGCACTTGCCGTCTTTGCCGCCCACCTGGCGCCGGCGTAGGGCCGCTGCGTCCCGGAGTGCCGCGTCGTCCAATTCCATCTCCTCGCGCTTCGGGAGGTGGTGATGACGACCGCTTTGTGCTTCCCTCCTCCCCGCCATTTCTGCAACGGCAGCCGGGACGCCGGGCGGCGCTCTTGCGCTCAACGGCGCATCTGCAGCCATCTCGGCCCGGGCAGACGCGAGCAGTTCTGAGACAAAGCGCCGCCCGCCGCCCAGGAATCTCGGAATGGGAACGTCGCCATGGGGCCCGTGGGCAGCAACCTGAGTCGGCACGGCGGCCAGGAGCAGCACCGGGAGGGCTGCCGATGGTGAAAGGCGCATTGTGAAGAAGGGCAGGGATAGAGAGCGAGAGAGAGAGAGAGAGAGAGCAACGAGAGGACAGTTTGCAGGGTGAAAAAGGAAAAGGAGGCAAGAAAAGAAAACTTCAAAAGAACGACCGGAGAATGAATGTGAGAGAAAAAGAACAGCACGCCGAAGATGCCAAGACTATTTTTTCTCCTTCCTTTTATGTGGCTACAACTCGGTCTCTATAACAATGACAGCCGGCGAGAGGAAGTATATCCACGACCAAAGTCGTATATGGGGATAAAGGGGGGTGGTAATAAGTGAACAAGACGACGGCGTGTGCGAATGAATGGCAGAGGTAAGGGCCAGTGCCAGACGAAGAAAGAAAAGAAATATATAAATTGCGAGGAAACATTTAGACGACGATTTGCCAGTTACAGTACGTGCATTGTAAATTCTACAAGGCAAGGCTCCGTTAGGTGCGAACCGGCCATGACATTGAACGTTTAATCTACAAATGTACCGTCAAAGGCAGGAAGGGACGGTAACGTTACCGAAATAAAGAGAGATGGCCATGGGAGTCGAGCATCGTCTCTAGGTGTCTTTGAAGAAAATTGGAGGGAACGGGATGGGCGTCGGATGGGCGTCGCCTTGCCTCTGCAGGAACAAGAGAGCATGCACGAATATGAAGAGGCAGTCGGAAGAGATGTATGGCCAGCAGCGAACCAAACTCCGAGTGGGAACAGTATCATTACGGAATAGATGAACCGCAAAGAGGCATTGCGTAATGGGACCCCACAGACGAGCCGTGTTGAACCAGTGGAAGAAACGGCCGTCGTGGCCTCACCCGGAAGAAGAAAGCTTGTAAGCCGAAAGGAACGTTGGAAAAAAGAGGTCGTTCTCTGCGCCGCCTGACAGCCTTGTTCCCACGGTATATTGACGTTGGATTCGTGTTGTGCCCTTGCTTGCGTTTTGGCTTTGGTTTGCAGAGTGCTTTTCATTGAATCTTGTTTTCCTACGACAGATGCCAGTGTGAAAGTCCTTGCCGATTCTCCGTGCCCGGAAGAGAAAAACCATCGCCGAAAACGGCAAGCTAGGAAGATGTCGCCCTCAAGAAATATGATCAATGGATGATGGCCTGCAGGCTAAAAGCAAGAACACAATCAATTCGGCCTCTGGGATACGACCTTTTCTGCCTTGCGTATTCCTATTAAGGCTGTACAAAATAAAATGGTATTATATGCCGTACGTTTGCCTATAACATGATTTTTTTCTGTTCTTTGGTTTTGTTGAAGAGAGAGATCTACACAAAATAGTAGCGATTGTTTTCTTGGATGCCGTTTTGACTGGCACTAAACAGCGTAGCAAGCGAAGAACATTGGCTTTGCAAACAAAAGCCGGAATCGTCGAGATGTGTGTCGTGGATCGAAGGAAAGGTATCCCGAAGAATTCTCCGACGCCGTGGCTATTTCTGTTACTATTTCGAGCTCATTGGCACACATCCCCAGATTCTTTCAGCCGCATGTCACAGAACACCACATGCCAAGACTTTCAATGTTCCCAACGACCAACATTACTATTGCCATGCGTTTACTTGCTCCGTCGAACATGAACATGAGGTGTTGGACAGCACCAGATGTAACTACGGCTCAGCACAAAATATAAACCCTTCGTCTAGATTGGGACAGAAAGTGGGTATTAGATAATCGTGTGGTGCCTTTGTGATCCGACATGTTGGTCTTTGCTTGGCTTCTGCTTTCCTTCGTCTCATCTGCGAACGACAAATGTATCGGGCCACCCCGTCTTGGCACATGTGTGACCAACAAGAAACGATAGGATGGAGAGGCGAGTTAAAGAGAAAAAGAAAAGAAAACGAAAAAAGCGAGGGACGTTGGCCATGTCGTTGAGTAGAATAAGGAGTATCGCCGCCGTCCTTTATGTAGACGTACGACTGCATCCATGACCTCAGTGCGGCCAAAGGACTGGAGAGCTTTATCATGAGAAGACATGCGGTTTGCTCCTCGCTCTGTGATCTCCTCTATCATATTCGTATTTCCGTAAAGCGGGGGGGCAACACAAGGTAAGAGGAGCACACAGGCTATCCCGGGTCGTGGCATCTTACGCAAGCCTGCTAACTGCTGACAGCGAGCAATAAGGGCGGGAGGACGAGCACCACCACACCAGATGGGATCTGGATAAAATATGCAGACATGGAAGAGGCGACGTCAACCGGCACGTTACCCGTAGGAGGGCATCTCGCTTTTCTGTTCTTGCATCTGTCGTATCGTTTGCTGTTTTGCATGGTCATTGTTGCCCTCGTGACGCACCACGGTCAGTTCACTGCGAGGGGTTGTATTACTCTGCAAGTTGCAGGATATTCATCTCATGTAATTTGTTTTTGTATTGCTTACTTTCCTCATTGCGCTCTAATGCATCCGTTGGTACCCAAGAAAGGTCGAGAAAAACAAGGTCTACAAAACTGACCGAGATATGAAACTTAACGAAAAAAAGGAAACCTGACACCGTGCCCTCTAATGAACAGATATGAAAAAGCCGAAAAAAAAACAAATGTTTAAATCAGAATGGTTGGAACCCCCGCCCCCTAGATTGCAAAGAGACGAAGACAAAAAATAAACAAGTAATAGATGGGAGCTAAAGCGGCCAGAAGAAACAGAGGAAAGAAGGGAAAATGAAGCATAATTCAAAATGTGAATGCGTACTAATACAGCACAATGAAAGTGTGTGTGGTGGTATCGTTGGAGAGAAGGAGGAAGGATCCAAGGGCACGATGCAGCGATGCAACAGACCAAAACTGGCATGGCGCTATTGTCCGTGAATCGATGTTGTAACGTGTCAAGGCCGTCGGGGAAAGCAGAAATCGGCCGAGCACGACTGGTATCTTACGCCGGCATTGGATCAGCAGCAGGCGTGTCTGAGGCGGCTGTGGGTGGCGCCGTTGATTGGGCATCGGGTTGTGCGACTGGCTGGTCGGTCGGCGTCGGTGTGGCAGTCTTGGCCACACTGGCCGCGCTCTCCACGCTGACCACGCTCGCGACGCTGGCGACACTGGCGACGCTGGCAGAGGACACGGACGCGACGCTTGCCAGCGATGCTTTCCGCTCCTCCTCAGAGTCCTTCTTCGCGGGCACAATGTGGCCCTGCTTATCGTCGCCTTCGCAACGCTCGCGCTCCAACTTCATGTCCATGATCAGGCTGAGCTCCGGGCAGTAGTCGAAAATCTTCTTGCGCTGTTCCGGGTTCTTCCAGACGTCGTCCGGCAGGTTCTTGCCGCTGTTGGGAATGTGGAAGCCCATGGGCTTCTCAACATAGACGTTCTCGACGGCCAGTGCCGTCAGGCCAGACGTGACCTTCTCGCCCGGCAGGACCCAGAGGCGGCGGCCAAACCACTCGTCCTCGGGCTCCGAGTTGTTGTAGCGGGCCTGGAAGCGCAGGACGCGGCGGATGGCCGAGACCTTGCGCAGCGACAGGCCGCCGTTGCCCGAGAAGCGGTCATCGGCCGACCGGGGCGCGCCGGCCCAGGCCCAGTCCAACCACTCGTTGAGGCTGGTCGGCGAGTTGCCGCACATGATGCTGTCGGATTCGTACTTGAGAATCCACTCGACACCGGGCAAAAACTCGTCGTAGAACCGAATGTCGGTGAGCATGCGGAACACCATCTCCTTGTTGGAGATGTTCCAGGGCTCGGGCAGGACCATGAGGTCGAGCTTGCCAATGACCTGCTGGTGCTTGATGGCGTGGGCGCGGCTGACGCTAAAGACGCTCTTCTCGGAGCCGATGAAGACGAAGCGCCAGTCGGGGGGCACGACGGTGGCCATGTGCAGGACGAGGGGGACGAGGTGCGGCAGCGGGCGCGGCTCGATGATGAGGGCGACCTTGGAGGCGTTGAACATGGATTCGGGCTCTTCGGGTATGCGCCAGTCGACCTTGATGGACGGGATCTTTTGTCGGGCTTCTTGCAGGCGATCGGTAAGGTGCGAGCGGATCATGGGCTCGTAGTGTGGTAGCAGATGGGCCACCCACCATCTAAAGGGTGCTGTGTTAGACAAGAGAGAGCCGGGACGAGGCGGAGAAAGGAAGAACGCATTGGAACGTACGTGAAGACGAGAGAGGCAAGGATAAACATCTTGCCCTTGGTTATCGCGAAGACGCCAGGTTGGTTATGTGTTGTCGCCATGTTGGGCGAGCAGACGTCGAACGACAGAGGTAAGGACACTCAAAAAGAAGATATCGAGGTGGCTGAGGTCGTGACGGAGAGGACAGTACAACCAAGCACCCTCGTTCGAGCAGACGCCGGGGTACGGCGAGACAAGTGAGATAAGCTGTTCGGAGTGCCGGGATTAAGATGGAAGGGAAGGACAAATGTCGTCGTCGACTCCAGCGGCGTTGCTGAAAACGAAAACGAAAAGGGGAGGGAGGCAGAAGCAGAAGAAACCAAAGATCCAAGGGACGAAGAGGAAAAAGGGGCCGCCCGCAGGGACTCAGTTGCGCGATGCGTGTTCAATGGCGGCGGTGCCCATTGCCGTCCGGATGGTTGAAAGGACGGAGAGAAGTCGCGAGACGCACAAACAGTGGGATAGTAATCACAGACGAAGGACACAAAGATGCAAAAAGGCAGAGAAACCCGTGAGAATCGTAGTAGTCGCGGCTGAGAAGGTAGGCAGTACAGAAGTAATTATCACGCTAACTCGCGAGAGAAGGGACCCCTAAGGAGAGATGTCAATGCAGGCGGTATGGAGTGGGGGGGGGGACTCTCTCTCAAAACACGTCGAAGAAGGAACGAATGCGCGCTCTGAACTAACTAGAGAACAGGAAGTCAAATAAACCACAAACTAAAGCAGACAGACGAAAAATTAGAAGGAAGCCGTTGGTTGAAAACGGTAACTACGAACGACTAGAGAGACAGCAGCAGACAGACGTCAGGCGATTGACAAGGGCAAGGCAAGTGCGGGGCCCTTGCCAATGGAGGCAAAGTGGTACTTCGCTGGTACTTTGGTCAACTTGGGAAGGCCCTCAAGCAACCTCCGTCTCTGGCGGCCCCACACCGCACGCAGGGCTGCCCCTTTTTCTGAAGAGAACAGATAGCAGGTGCAGGGGCCTGGGAGCGTGGTCAGACTACGGCTTTTACATTGCAATGCCAATGTACGAATTATGTCGTAAGCAATACGTCGTACTCCGTCGGAGTATGGCGTAGTCGATTGTGAGAAAGCAGCACCCAAGAGAGATACGGAACGGAAGTAAAAAATACTGCCGCCGCCTGCGCCTTTGGAAAGTCGTATTTTAATGGCAACACGAGGGCGGTTTGCACAGTGGGAAAGGGACCGTACGGCCAATGCGACACGAACATTGGCAATATACGAGCGACTGGCCAATACGACGGCCCTGCGTCTAGGGCCCATGGTGTGATGGGCGGAACAGCCATTTCCCAGCAGCCAGCCAGTATTTCCTTTCCGTTTTGGGGCAGGCTGCAGCGCCACGGTCCTTAAAGACAGAAATGGCACGCCTTGGCCGGTTCTGTCATGGGGGCTCATGGGGGCCCCACGACCGTCGGCATTAAAATGAGAGTGAAAAGAACAGTTTGTCCGGTACCTTCAAAATTCAAATCGCCAAAAGGTGCTGAGCCAGAAGCGCGCTAGCAGAGCCAATATCTCCCAGATCCCCTGTCGCACCCTTACTAACGTGCGGCTCCCAGGCGCGCTGCTCCTGACGTCTGCATATGTGGGATGCATTGGTAATTCAAGAGCCAACCGGGGCTGTACGACGTATCTTTCTGAATTGGGCCATGGGCTAGACAGAGGTTGGATTGCTGTCATGGATGCAGCGACGTATCTTAGCTGCTGAGACAGACTCTGTTTGCATCCGGCGATACGAAACGGAAGAGTCTGCTGTTGGAGAAGGTGGTGTACTGTTATTACTATTTTATTATTATTTTTATTTATTTATATTTATTTCTACCTTTCTTGCTGCTGTCTTACGACGGACGGTCTGTTGAGCACCAGCAACCTGGTTTACCGGCCTTTTTGATGCACAACTCACTTGCGAAGCGTATTTTGTTCTGCTCGGCAACATACGACGCAAAAAAAAGCCAAGAGCGCATCGCCCAACAGCTGGCGTGCCCGTTGCCCTCGAAGAACCCCTACGAAGTATTTCGTAGTATGCAATTTGTCACTTTTGTAACGCCCGTTCGTGCCTGCCGCGACCACCGCTAATGGACGGGCTTGCCTTCAGAAGCTTGAGGTACAAGGAAGGTACATTCCTCGACATCGTGCCAATATCCACAAGCAAACGCCCGAGACGGAAAGGTCGAGGCGGGTCCATTCCAAAATTTGCGGCGTTCCTGGTCACTGTTATGGATCTTTTTCTATTTGATTAAATTTTTATCTATTTCGTACTGGGCTCATGGGCTCCTGGGCTTGCGTGCTGTCCCAGCGCTGTTGCCCTCCCAATCGTTGGAACGTAGCTCTCCATGCGTCGCATCTGCCTTTCCGCGCCTTTTCAGCCCCTTTGTTCGTCCGACCTGTCGTCTTCTGTTTGACACAGCCCACGCAATACCCCCTTCGGTGTCAGTGTCCCACCCCCCGTGGCAATACCGAGAAGAAAACGCGTGCCACTGTGGGTGCTCTTTCATCTTTCATTGTTACAGCGTATCTCGCCCTCGCTGCTTGACCCGACGCTGTAGATCTCTCCAGCTGGATCCCGCTTCCTCGACTTTCTTGATGCCTTTCTATCTGCTTTCTTTCTTCGGGCGTTTTTTGACTAGACCCCTTTCTTGGACTCCTCAGTTTTGTCCCTGGCGTTCGTGACGACCTGCCTTACGCTCCCGCGAACATCGAACCACCTTTTCCTCCCTCACGCTCGTTTCCTGCTACTCTTCGTGTTCTCGGCAAGACAGTGTCTCGACACTCCTCCCAGCGTACGCACGAAACCAACGCAGAGACGCTCGGCCACTCGACTCTAGACGATCGACTGACGCACTTACGCGAGGCTTCGAACACCGGGCGGTCGCTTCGTCGCACCTGTCCGACCGTCATCTACATCAGTGACACTTGACGCACGCGTGCTTTACGTCTCGAAAATAATACTACAGAAAAGGATACGGCGATACAAGGAGAGCCACCTGTCTGCCATCGCGGGACCTGCTGTCGTGCTTGGTCGCCCTGGTCCATACTGGCATTGCGAGTGGCATTGCGCAGCCGTCCAACTCAGGCGCTGTCCTGTTTTCTCTCCTTCTTCCCCTTGCCTCTCCCCGCCTGCTCTTGTCCCTCCCGCTTGTCCTACGGCATCTCGCCGAACATCCCGCCGGCGACACTATCATCTTCGGCACCCAGCCGCATTTCTAGAGCGTGAACCGACGTCCGCCCACCATGTCCCAGTCCGACTCCTTTTTGCGGCGGCGAGGCATAGACTCGCTGCGCGAGGTCCGCTTTAGCGATGTTAAGAATGCTGTGAGCTTGCTCACCATGGCCGTGTGGACAAAAACCTCACGGCGGGTGCGCCTGTTGGGCGCGTTCGTTATCTTGTTGTAAGTCGTTTGAGCCTCGTTTCGTTGCTTGCTTTTATGTCCCACGGCTGACCCTCATCCCGCATAGTTTCTTTGCCTTTGTCTTTTCCGACTCGCTGCTTTCCGCCAGCAACGTCAACTATCCGACCATCAAGTTCGAATACGCCAACCAGCCACAGCGATCCACGTTCAACGAGTCCAAGGTTGGCCTCCTCATCGAGAACCGTCCCTTCCCCATCCTGGCACCACTGATGCTGCACTTCATCTCAGTTGTGCCCCCCGACTGGCGCTTCCGTTTCATGGGCTCCATTGAGTCTGTCAAGAAGATAAACGAATCCGTCGCCATCCAGGAGCAAGTCAAGGCTGGCAAGCTCGACCTCACCTACATCCCCTCCAATATGTCCACGGGTAGCCAGGAGGAGATTAGCCGCTTCCTGACCACACGGTGGCTCTACGAGGTCGTCCTCCAACCCGCCGAGTGGCTGCTCGTCTTCCAGACCGACAGCATCCTGTGCGCCAACTCGCGGCACAATCTCAACGAGTACCTAGAGTACGACTGGATTGGTGCCCCCTGGAGCACCCACAGCCGCTGGGGCGGCAACGGCGGCCTGTCGATTCGCCGCGTCAGCGCCATAGTGGACGTCCTCAAGGACCAAGTCCGTGCCGACGGCAGCGAGCCCGAGGACGTCTGGCTGGCCGAGCGCCTCGGCCACCGCCCCAAGTCCAAGGTCGCCAACGGCACCGTCTCCCTGACCTTCTCGGGCGAGATGCACCTCGGCGAGGGAGCCCGCCTCGAAAACATTACCGTGTCCGCCGCCAGCAAGGAAGAGCTTGAGGACGCCGCCCGCGAGGGCAAGCTTGTCAAGGGCATCGACGACTGGCGCGCCGGCTTCTACGAACCCATGGGCTACCACACGGGTGGTTCCGGCAAGTTCTTGCACAAAGGGATCTGGGGCGATCCCGAACGCCGTGAGCACATCTGGAAGTACTGCCCCGAGGTCAAGATGACCCTGGCCATGGACGCCGCCAAGTTTGTGCCCGGCATTTGCGGTGCTTCCTGGAAGCGCTCCGTGGACATCCCCGGCATGTCGCCAGGCATTGTCGACGTCGGTTACGGCAGTGAAATCATCAACGACGTCCTATACCCTGTCCTGCCGCCTACTTTGGTGCCGTGGTAACCGTACCATTCTCGGTTTGCTCTTTATACTGTCGTTTGACAGTTGGTTGTTCAGAGTCCTCGTAATTCTACCTCTGTTGTTTATCCTCAATCATATCTTCTATCTTATCTTCCTCTTTCTTCTTCTAAATTTGGTTATTTGTATTTATCCTCTTTAATGCTTCTCTAGCATGGCAAGGTTGGCAGGCGTTATCACATAAGAGCTGGTGTTTTTCTGTATTCTATTGTTTCCTTTGTAACATGTTTCATGAATTTTTTTAAAAAGGCGGTTGGTCCTTTTTGTCTTATATATGTGATATATCCCAGGAATTTAACACCCCCCACCCCCAATTGAACTTGAGACGACTTGTTGGAAGGATAGTGTTACCAAATTAAATTGATTAGATACAACAGAGACTGGTCTCCGTCATTTTCAATAGCGAACAAAAAAGTATAGAATATAGAATAAATCAATAAGGTTTTTTTTATCCCCGTGTACTCCGTCATGTAAAAGGGAATCAAAATCAAAGCCCAGAATAACACGTGATTAAACCCCGGATTAACGCACCATGGCCCCGACAGCACCAGCCAGTTCGCCAAAGAGCACGCCGCGCAGCACAGTCTCGCCCATGGCCTCGGTCCAGTGGCCCGCGTCGGCCAGGCGCTGACGCCACGTGGCCTGCTGGGCAGCATTCAGGTCGTCCCAGGGGACAGCGGGGCCGTGCTCGGCTTCGTCGTGGGTGACGACCTCGATCGTGTGGTCAGAGTCCTCGCCGCGCATAAACAGGACTTGTTGGCCAGCAGCTGCGTCCTGGGTCTGGGGCTGGGCCTGGGCCTGGTCACTGTCGACGGCCGACAAGAACGCAGCCACAGGGTGCACCTCGGGCATGGCGCCAAAGTCGTCGTGCTTCTCATCGCCGACGGCCGCCACGGGCGCGTCGTCGACAATCCACTCACCCTCGGCGGCCTTCAGGGCTGCATTGTGGCGCGTTAGGCGGTCGTTGGCTGCGAATTTCGGGGCCACCGGGTGGAGCCAGTTGATGGGCACGATTTCGCGAGCGCCGAGTAACGGCTGGGAGAAGCCCATGACCTCGAGAATGGCGTGGGCAACGAGAACGGCCAAGGCCAGCACGGCGAAGGTGTACATGATCAGGCCCCTGCCTGAGGGCGCGTACGACTTGAGGGCAACGACGTAGCGTGGCGGGTTGAGGGCGGCTGCTGCAGCAGCGGCGGCGGCGGTGCTTGGCGCCGTGGCAGAGGAGGACGGCAGCTTCCGCAGAGGGATCGCATGGACAACGACGGTGTTCTTGACGGATACGCTGGCAAGGCGCAGGTAGTGGATGGCGGCGGTGGTCGAAGCTGTCGAGGGTGCCGTGGGCGTATGGAAATGAGAGAGCGCGATGCTCGTCATGGGCAGCTCGTGCACGTCCTTGAGCGTGCGGAAAGGGTGCAGGTTGGCTAGCAGCTCGGTGCGGGTGCCGGCGCTCTGGTATTCGAGGGTGTAGAGTGAGAGCGAGTTGTCGCCGCCGGCCACAGCGACAACAAATTGGGTGCCGTTCGACTGGCGGATCCCTGGCGCAACGGGCGGCGTCAGGTTGCGCACGGCCAGGCCTGTGGCTTGTGTGATGCTCTTGGGCAGCTTGACGTTGATGGTGATGCGGGCCTGCTCGCCAGAGCCGTCGACCGCGGGTGAGATATCTGGCAGGCGCAGTCCCAGCAGAAATGCGCCGGTACGCTTCGGCAGGTTGCACACGGCCAGGATGAAGCGTGGGGTGACGTAGCGGATGGAGCGGAAGCTTGGGCGTGTTGTGCGACCAGTCGCAGCATCTGTGGTGATCTCGTACGCCAGGTAAGGCTCTTCGCTTGCGTCTGCGCCAGTCGTTGCCGAGGCTGCGGTCAAAGCAGTCGAGGCGCCAGGCGATGCGGTGCTACTCCCGCTGCTGTTGCGGCGCTTGCCACCGAGTGCAGCAGCAGCAGCAGCCATGCTGCCCTTGGTGGCCACGTTGAACAGGAACAGCTCATGGTCTGTACAGTACGCCAGCTGGTACTGCTCGGCGTCTGTCTGGATGATGTCGAGGTCGGCCACGTCCTTGGACAAGTCGATCCGGCCGCGCACCTTGGGGAGGACGGTCGCGGCGGCGGTCGACTTGGCCGACGGCGCGGTTGCGGCGGGCGCGGCGGTCGTGACGTCGAACAGAACGATCTGCGGGGACTGGGACAGTCCGGTGGCGCACGCGCCGAGCTGCGGCAGAGTGCTACCCTGGCCGTCGGAGAAGGGCGCGGACACGCGCACGAGGCGCTGGTAGGTGTCGGCATCGGGCTCGCTCGAGGTAAAAAAGGGCGCGCGTGCGAGCTCGGAGATCTTGGACGACGAGGCAGATGGCGTAGATTTTGCGGAGGCAGACGCCGGCCCATCGACGCCAAAGACGCGGAAGTGATCGTTGCGGCCCTTGTTCAAGGAGCTGATGCCGGAGTTGACGCCGGCATAGGCAATGGTGGTGCGGCCACGACGGGGGCCAGCGGCAAAGCTGGTGACGCTGTCTTCGTCCTTGGAAAGCTCGATCTCGGAGGTGACGCTGAGCCGGGGCTCCTCGGGCTTGGAGGTGTTGATGAGTGTCTGCAGAGGTGGGTTAGTGGGTGTCGCGTTACAGTGGACCAGGACCAGGCGAACCAGGAAAGCATAAAGAGAATCAGGCGAGTACGAAAAGAAGCTTCAGAAACATACAATCTTGTTGCCCACGCCTGTCCGACTGGCGCCACCGCCGCCGCCGACAATGAGCCGGCCAGCATCGGTCGGGTCAAAGTCGCAAACGTATAGTGGGTAGTCCAGCGTCGTCTGTGATGTGCGGATATCCATTGTCGCGGCTGTGATGAGGTGGGTGGGAGAGGGAGGAAGAGGCGATGAGGCGATGAGGCGATGAGGCGACTGATGAGGACGAAGACGAACAAGAAAGGAGGGAAAGAGCGACGCAGGCGATGGAGGAAGGACGAAGGAGGAAGGAAGGGAGGGAGGGAGGCACCAGAAGAAGGAGGAATTTAGAGTTGTGGGGAAGCCACAAAGCGAAGGCGATAGTTACAAACGGCAGGAGCGATGATGGAAGTAAGACCAGCTGCAAGCTGTCTGTTCGGCATTCTTTGGTGGTCGTTCCCCGGTCCGAAAAAGGGGCGCCAAAGTGGCAGTGGAGAGCTAGGCCGGCGGCTTAGCGCATGTGCGACCGCGCCGAATGGGACAATTAGGACAGATTACAATGAATAAGGGCAGAAATGGGCAGAAAAGGGCCGTAAAGAAACAATATTTTGGGTTATGGGGGCGAACTCCCCAATGCGGGCCAGACAATGAAGCTGTGGACATCAGGTTGCCTTTCAATTTCGTTTTCGTTTTCACTTTCATTCTCCATCTTATTTTTCAAAAGCCTTGACTTTGGACAACGCGCTCTGACGCTGTCGAGTTTCTTGGGTGATCGACGGAGCTGTTGTCAATTTGGCTTCTAGAAGAAATGGCTGTCACGTGCAAAATTGGGTGGAGCTGTCAGATTGGGTCGTAGGTCGTATGCAGCGGCCGCATTCTCGGCGCAAAGTGATGTCACTAGTCCGGGCCAGGCCACACGCCGAGCTAGAGCGTGAAATTGGGTCACGGCCCAATGCAGCAGCTCATCTTCAACAGCACCGCGCCGTGAGATGCTGATGAGGAGAAAGCTGGACCCTGTCTGGACAATTTTTTTTTTTTTTTTTAAAAAAAAAGAAGAAAAAGCAAAAAGCGATGGGAAACCCAAAAGAGGATGAATATGGAGTGGAGACTTCATGGACTATGCTCAATGGGTGCTCGTTGTGTCTTGTATTGTTCTGGAGATATTGCTGTCACTGGTCAAACACTTCCATTCGCTTTAACATTTTCTTAATACTTTTGTTTTACTAATATACAGCGCCTATGTACAATTTCTCTAGGTCGTACGAAGCCGGATCTCCTGTCCGACTTGGTATCCTCATTTGATATCATTTTTGATCCTGACCAGGCGGTCGAGTGCGCGGCCATTCTCCAACGCCCACCCGCCCATGACGTCCATCTTTTGGCGGTCGCCGTTGACAATGACCTTGATGAAGCCCTCGCGCGAGAACACGCGGCGGACCTGCTTCCAACCGGTGTTTGCGCCCAGGGCGGCGTGGCGGAACGGCGCCGTCATCAAGTGGTTCATCTCGTACTCGCGGGCCTTGGCCTGGCGCTCTGTCTCGGCCGCGTGCGCCTTGACGCGCTCGGCGCTGGTCACAACAGCACCCGTGGCGGCGACCGCGCCGGCAGCTCCCGTCGGCAGCGCGTCACCGCTCAGACCGTACGACGCAAACCGGAACGGCACCTCCATCGTCTCGGGCAGAATGTACCGCTTGCGTGCCGGCAGAATGGGCAGCACGCGTCCGATCTCGAGCTCCAAAATAATAGGTGGCATGGGACCACCGCCAGCGTCCTTGACGGCACGCGCTGCCGTGGCCGCCGCGCCCTTGCCGGCAATGGCCTCGATGCGCCCCGACGGGATGGCGTGGATGACGCGGACGATGCCGACGCTGCCCGACACGAAGTAGACGCCGCCTGCAATCATGGCACCGCAAATGACGGCAAAGGCGTGCGGCACCCACCACAGCATATTCTCGGGCGGATAAACAAAGATGGTCCAGTAATTTATGAGAGTGTACGCGATGGTGGCGACGCCGGCCAACAGGGATGTCATGCGGAACACAAGGTGGGACGGCGCCTCGTAGAGCAATGTACTGACGGACCGGCGGCCGAGCTGCTCGGCGAAACCGTTGCCAAGAACAGGGCCAGCAGCGGCGGTGACAGCAGAAGCTGTGGAGGTGGAGCCAGGAACGGTACTCGGGCCTGATCGCGGTAGGGCGGTATTGATAGGCGCGGCTCGTGTTTTAGCCTGTTCCATGGGTGCCTGTGTTGACGGTGTTGACGGTGATGACCGTGTGGCCGGCTGTGGCTTTGCTGGATATCGTGGTTGGTATTGTGATGGGATATTCTTGGTTGCCTTGCCCATGGGGCCCTTGCCGCGATTTGGCAGCGAGGACGAGAAGAAGCGGACACTTGGGGCAGCCGCAAAGACTGGCGGGAGGAGTGCCAATCGTAGCCGAACGGCGGACAGAATGTGGGAGCTGCCGGAGCCGGATAGCGAGCCGGGGAGTGTCGCATGTTGTGTTCGGAATAGGCCTGTCGCAAAGCTGTGGTAGACGAGCCCCGCAAGGCCCCTGGCATGGGACGCCATGGCGAGCCTGCGTTGTGTGCCGAATGGAACAGCAGGAAGGCCAATTGGCGTGGGTAAGAAGAGAGGCACTTGTCTTGACGTGGAGGTGAAGCCTGTTAAAGTCTGTTTTGGGTGAAGCTACAATAATTTTTTTTCCGTGCACCATTTTGTGAGTATCGCATAACCTAGCAGGTCTGCTGGAAAAAAAGCGGGTCGCTTAACACGCCGACTAACAGAGTCAGGCCTACGTCGGCTTATGTTGACTCCCACCAAAACCGTAACCCCTACACTGCAACGACATACCTGTTACACGTAGGCTCCCATTACGGGAGCCTGGCTTTACACCGAGTTGTACGCCGCTTAGTAAGGCCGTACAACAAATATATAAGACCTTTTCTCCGACCTCTAGTTCAAGTAGATAGTTTACAGAATCAACAATCATTTATCACATACATTATCATATTATTATTCAGGGCCTACGCAACAGTATGACATTCTGAATCGTGATACTTGTGATACTTCATTTCTTGTTCCGTCACCTGGCATCTCGAAGCCAGTGACGTATACGCTTGTGCGTAACAATAACCGCCGACAACACAATGTCTCCCCAACTGGCCCCCCTCGAGCTGACACTTGTGGTCGCCGCCACCGCCCGCGATATGGGCATCGGGGCCAACGGCGGCCTGCCTTGGACAGGCCTACGCAAAGAGATGGCCTACTTTGCGCGTGTCACGAAGCGTGGGGAGGTGAGAGCTACTCTGTTGGCCTGCTTAATATATATGTATATATATATATATATATATATAGCCATGTGAATGGTTGCTGACAGCACAGGGCAACGCCGTCATTATGGGCCGCAAGACGTGGGAAAGCATCCCGCCCAAGTTCCGGCCTCTGCGCGGCCGCGTCAATGTTGTCATCAGCCGGTCATTTGCGCCAGGCTTGCCACAAGACCCAGCCGGTGGACTCGATGCTGGTCCCGTGGAGGCGTCGTCGTTGGAGTTGGCCCTGGAGTACCTGCGGACAAAGACCGCGGCGGCACCGGCGGCACCGGCGGCACCAGCAACAGCGAACACGGTGAACCACCGCGTCTTTGTGATCGGCGGAGCACAAATCTACGCTGCCGCGCTGGGCTTGGCGGCGGCGCGGCGGGTGCTGTTGACTCGCGTCCTGTCAGACTTTTCCTGTGACACATTCTTCCCCCTCGCGCTGGGAACAAGCAGCACAACCGAGGCCACTCCCGACTCTCCCAACTGGGTGCAGCGGAGCCGGCAAGAGCACTCGGCGTGGATCGGCGAAGAGGTGCCTGAAGGCGTGCAGACAGAGAATGGGACAGAGTATGAGTATCAAATGTGGGAGAGAGTAGATTAGGTTCGGCTCCTACAGGTAGGCTCCATGCTGACAAAAAAAATTCACATCAAAAGCCAACACACCACCAAAAAACGTGCCAACGCGCGCCAATTCTCCGCATTTCAATACATACACCCACTAAAAACGTCAACAATGGCTAAAAAAAAAAACACACATACACATACACCTAGCAGAAACAGTATTATTGCTGTATGCGAATCAAATATCGAAAAAGGCGTCCCTTTTTATTATTCAGATATTTTTCGAAAGTACGGCGTCTTTAACAGGACTGGCTGGAATATCCTACGTAACGGCCAGTCGCGAACCCTTCACAACTGCCCCGACATTGAAGATACGCGTGGCCGTAAAAGGAAGTTAACCAAGGAAGATGTCGATGTTCTCGTGTATTTTATCCACGGTAATGGCTTCGACTTGCGAGTCCTTGGCTGGCACGAGCTCGTCCTTACGGCTAGGCTAGATATCGACGTCTCCCCACGCACCGTACAGCGACGGATACAAGAGCGCGGTATCCGCCGTTGTAAGGCTATCGAGAAGAAGTATATATCGCCTCGCCTCGCCGAGAGGCGTTAAGACTGGGCACAAACGATGCTGGAGCGTTACCCAGAGCCCGAGGACTGGCGTTACGTTCGTTTTTCTGACGAGACACACTTCTCCTGGGGGCCGTAGAAGAGGCTATTAATACTTCGTGATCTTACGGAGAGGTATACTAGCGACTGTATCTCGTAGAAGAGAGAGCCTCCCGTGAAAGGTCACAAGCGTATCCATTGTTGGGCAGCCGTTGGTTATAACTTCAAGAACTCTCTCGTCTGGTACGACGTGCCAGACAACACGAACGGGAAGATGAGCCAGAAGGTATACCAGGACCAGATCCTTGAACCAGTGGTTAACCAGTGGATTCGTGATGGTCACTGGTTTACGCTTAAGGAGGACAACGATAGTGGCATGGCACCGGCAAGGCCAACATTGTCAGGATGTGGAAGCGGCACCATGGCTTAACTTCGTACTTTAATTGCGCCCAGAGCCCGGACCTGGCGCCTATTGAACGGGCGTGGGCGTGGCCGAAACGGAAGGTCAAGTCGCAGTCGGTTTAGGATAATGACAGCCGACAGGCCCTGGCCCAGGAGGGCTGGGATGAATTAAAGCAGTCTACGATAAACGGCTGGATTGACAATATTCCCATGATACTTAAACAAGTGGCTGATGAGGACGAATTAGCCGGCAAAATGTCAGGTTTTTGACCGACTTTTACTGTACTGTTAGGAATTTGGTGTGGACTTTTTTTTGTCAGCATGGAGGTATGGTATGCCAACCGCCGTTCTATGCATGCCAAATATATAAGAAATACAAACCAATGCCACAAAAACAGGGCATCGTAAACGCCCTTAATGCCAAAAAAAAAAGTCCTGCCCCGTCGCCGCGTCCGCCAGATATGATCATCGTATCCATGAATGTCCGTAGTGTCCCTGTTGAGCGTAATCATTCCAGCCTCCTTTTACGCGACCTCGTTTGTCTATATGATTTTTCTGTTTTGATTAAAACATAATGTACACGAATGTGGTGGTGTTGAGAAGTGAGATCACGCTGCCTCCTTGCTTCTTATGCCGAGGCAACCACCTTGGCGCTGCCGTCTGTCGACGTCTCCTCCTTGCGCGCTGCCTGCTGCATCAACAGGCCCAGCTCCTTGGTCGCCGGCTCGTCCACCGCCGCCAGGTCCATCGTCGGCGGCGCCCACCCAAAAATGCCCGCGCCTGCGTGCAGGATCAGGCCCTCGTCTTGCATGCGGTCCAGCTGCGCCAAGCTGCGGCGCATCCACGCAACGACAGACGCCAGGTGCCGAAGATCGACGTCCGGGTGCGCCTTGAATAGGTTGCGCCAGACGGCGGCGGCCAGGACGGCATCGCCGCGCACGACTCCCTCGTCGTAGGCGACAATGACGCCGCGCCAGGCCATGAACAGATCCTGGAGGTGGCGCTGGCGCAGGCCGCGTGAGGTAATGTGGTGAAGGCGATCCATCTTATCCTCGGCCTCCTGGAAGAAGTGGTCCGACAGCATGGACTGCCACAGCTGATGGGCCTCCTTGTCAAAGCAGCGGAGGCGCGTAATAACCAGGTACATATGCAGCATTGTAACCTGCGACCACGTACTAAAGGAGGGGAGAAGGTTGAATTCTAAAAAGGTTAGCGTTTGCGTTTGTTGAGCTATTGTGGGCATGCGTAGGAACTCACCATCGTGCCATACGCCACCGCCAACGCCAAGTTCCTCGCCGTCTTCTGTCGTAGGCACCTGGTCGTTGCGCCGCGTCTCCTCCGAGATGTCGTACGCCGCCGGTCGTGTGCATTTTTGGTAGATGGCCCGCGTCACGCCAAACGCGCCGTACGGCTCAGCTGTCCGACTAATTGCACTCCGGGCCATATCGCCCAGCCGACCTGCTATGCTAGCGCTGGTCGAGGTCGTGTGGAAGTTGCGGGCCGAGGCAGAGACGGCGCTTGAACGCCTTGGCCGCGGCGTCCGTGCAGGTTTTGGCTGTTGTTGACTTTGGACCGGCGAGTTCTGCAACTCCTGTGCCCACACAGCCTGGCTCAGGCCCCGTGTTTGCCGTGTCGCCGGCCGTGCGCACCGTGTAATGGCCGCACCGGCGCCGGCGCATGGTCGGCAGCTTGACCGTACCATGCTGTGATTTATGGTGTGGTGGCAGTTGGTGGACGTGCGGAGGGCCCGTGGGAACGAGATCGAGGCTCGAGCAACACAGCAGGAATTGACGTGGCTCCGGTGAGTTCGGCAGTCCCCGGGAGTCGTACGTTGTCGAAGCAAGGTGGATTCACGGACGTCAGGACTTGACGAGGTGGTACGGTCCTGCGAGAAACCGCAGAAAATATCAAAAATATGGAGCATCCAAAAATTTGGGGGCCGACCAATCCACGCCAAACTTGCATCTGATATCACATCACGTGACACACGTCAACATGCCGCCATCTCCATTTGTACACGAGACAATGGTTCATGGAGGGGAAGGAGCAACCGGCTTTCGGTCAGACAGGAACGGTAATTACGATGCTTTGCCTCTTCCAATCTTCTCTTGTTTCGTCTTTTTGAAAAATGCAACAAACATCTCACGACAACTGCCTCGTCCATCTTACTCAACGCAACCTGGCTCACTGCCATTGCAACTGTCCCCCCTGTTCCCCAGTGGACCCCACACGCAGACAACGGAATTGCTCAACTGCAACGCGACAGCCACGCTTTCGCTCGCAATCGTTAGCGTTACGGAGCGACCAACAGCCATAAGATATCTGAGAACACGCCGAGCAACGACACTCTCCTGGAAAAGCATCACCCGTCGGTGCACTGGGCGATTCGGCTTACCATCTCGAATCTTGATTCACAGACACGACTGCCTGCCATTATAGAGTCGTATCGATCTCGAGCGGTCCCCTAAACGATGACGGCGTGTTGAGCGTTATCGCATTGTGTCGAACAGTGCTTTTGATCGACAGCATCCATTCGCTTCCCGTCGTCATTTCCTCGACTCGTCTCCGAATTCGTCGCAACATTATATCTTGTCCATTACATCGTGACATTGTCCCCCTCGTCTTGCGGCTATGGCGGAGGACCTCGTGCCTTCGGCCGGCATGCCGTTTGACAATGCTAGCGCATGGCACAACTTCACCGTCTGGACCGCTCAGCACTTGGCCTTCCTCAACATGACCCGCATCACACCTTCGTTTGACAATCTTGTTTGGGCCGGTCCTCGTATGGTCAAGAAGCTTGGTCGGCTCGGCTCCTATATCCCCTTTCCCGACGGTATCGATGGCTTTGCTGGATTTGGCGGGCTTGGCGGAATCGGCCAACGCGTGATTCCGGGAGCGACCGACGCAGCGGGCAACATCCTTTATGGTGCCACCGGTGTGCCCGCGTCGGACGCTTTTGCCACGGCGGCTGCCGCAGCCGGTGCTGCTGCCGGCGCTACAGCTGCGGCCGAGCAGGACTTTGCAGCGACGCTGGCTGCTTCCGCCTCGCGGTTCTCACTCGAGAGCGCTCGGGGACTCGGTAGTCTCTTTAGCTATGCCACGAGCAAGTGGGCGCTCTGCTGCATCGCCACGGCTGTTATCCTTAATCGGACCTACATCTTTGCGGCAACGCGCCGCCGCATTCGCCTACGCTGGCCCATCCGCCTGTTGCTGCGCAGCCTGCCCATTGCGCTGTTCCTCGTCCAGGGCCACTTACTGCTGCAGTCCATCCAGTGCCAGACGTCGCCCGACTTTGCCGAGCTGCGCTGGAACAACGCTTCTAAGCAGTCTGATCTCATGTTCTCCGAGGCGAGCGTCTTTTTGCACGGCCTCAGTTCGACGTTGCTGCTCAACCCCACCGACGCCGACTCCTGCCGTGCTATCCGCATGGTTCCAGTGGACCGTTATGCGCCCACATCCAACCTGCGCGGCTCTCTGTCGCTGCTGTGGCCGCTCTTTATCACCTTTTGCCTGAGCAGCTTTGTCGAGACGCTCTCCTGCGCCATACAGGGACGCCCCGTGGCCGCCGAGACCGGCATGACTGTCTTTGAGCACTCGCTAGCCTTTGCCGAGGCCGATGCTGCTATTAGCAACCAACTCGGCTGGGGCACCTTTGCCGCAGCAACTGGGTCATCTGCATCGGCTTCTGCGTCCTCTAACAAGTCGGCCACACTGGCCGCCGTTCTTGCGGCAGCAACCCAGGCTGCTGTTGGCGGTAGCAACTCGGTAGGGGGAACTGCGATCGCTATGTCACGCTCCGCCATCCTCAGCCGGGTCAATACTCCGCCCGAAGTGCTGCTCCTTGCGTTCTTGTCCGCTATGAGCCACGTTACAAGCCATATACTTGGTGTGCTCAACCTACAGGCCAAGTTCCGTTTAATCAGCACCGGCTTTTGGGCTCTGTGCTTCATGGCTAGTATCGTCTGGAGCGCTCTCAACTTTTCCCTGGATGACCCGGCTGCCCAGAGCCTGCTGCGCTTCCCCACCGTCTCTATTGTAGGCTTCATCCCGCACATGCTTGTCCTCGCCGGTATTATCATCTGCTTCTTCATCTACGGCATTGCCCTGTTGCTCTGCGCCGTGTCACAGGAGCCCGACATCTTCTTTGGTAGCGGTGCTGAGCGTGTGACGTTCCGCGAGCGCATTGCCCAGGCCCACTCCAACATGCAGGCCAACTTGCCTATGGGCAACGTCCGCATCAGCATGGAGATGGACTTTTACACGGCGCTTTTGCGAGCCGGCTTTGACGCCATCACGATGGCAAGCGAGGCCGTATACCTCAATGAGGATCGCCGCGTCAGCTTGCGCTCGCACACATGGTTGGAAGACGAGCGCTACAATGAGCTTCAGGAGTTGCGGTCGCGCTGGCTTGGTTCGGATTTGCCGGGATCCCGCTTCGATGCCTTGGGGGCCACTGGCCTGGTGCCAATTTCGGGAAACAAGAGTGGCCCGTACTCAACAGGCTACTCGCGCGAGCGGGCCATCCAGAAGAACAGCGCCGCGGGCAAGCAGGGCGAGCGCATCCGGCCCATCCGCACTGGTATTGGCGCGTCAGAGCGGAGCGGCCGGTGGCTGATGGCCGTCGAATACTTGGCCCATGTGGGCAAGCTTATGATGACGTTCACAGCTGTGTACATGCACCGGTTGTTGTCCTGGGCCGGTATCCGCAGCCAACCACGCTGGCTCCAGCGGCTCGTACAGCGCCGAAAGGCTGGCCGCTCGGCGGGCGACCGGGACGGTTTCCTGGGTGGTGGCGACGGTCAACCCTCATCCGACGAGGACCATTCTAGTGAGTGGTTTGTGGCCAAGACTGGAAGCCTGCCAATTCAGCGCCGCGGTCAGATTGACGTTGAGCACGAGGTGCGTCGGCGGTTTGCTGCGTCACAGGATTTGTCCAAGTCCTCGCGCCAGGAGGAGCGCGAGATCGACAACAAGCTGTATCTTTGGTGGCTCAAGGGCGGCTGGTGGGGCGAGGTGGACACCAGCGGTGACTACGAGCCGAGCATTGCGGCCGATGATGATGACGCGACGAGCGTTATTTCCGTTTTCGACATGGAAGGCAGCGAGTCGGAGTGGGAGGACGACGAGACCGACGGCGACAACGCAAACGTGAACAGAAGCGACGCGGCCGGCAGCTACAGTTACGAATATGACGGTAGCAACAGTGACATCGACAACGACGGTCAGCGCACGCCCACACAGCAGTCCCCTTGGATCACGCGCGAGAGCACACCGATGCACGACGTCTCCATGGAGGCACCGGAGCTGGCCCGCCTCCTCGACCCGCAGAGCCCCGAAGAGCGAGCCGAGGCGCAGGCCCTCGCCGCTCACCTCAACAGTGACGGAATTCTGACGCGGTCTGCATTTGCGCGCTTCCGACAGCGTCAGCGTGCCGAGCTGCTTGCCACGTCGCGGTATGGCATTGGCGCCAGCCGGCTGGTCAGCAGCTTCCGGCCCGGCGCTCGCATGACACCCGATGAAGAGGCCCAGCTGCTGGAGCAGATCCTGTTGTCGCGTCGTGCGGCGATGCGTCCCCTCGCGCCACTGAGCGATAACCGTGGCGTGGACGATGATGGCGACATGACTCTTAGAGGTGGCGGAGGAGAAGGAGAAGGAGGTGAGTCGTCGTGGGCCAACGGTGCGGCCGGGATGGGCTCTGATGGGCCTCAATGCGTTGTCTGCCAGAGCTCACCCCGCACGATTATTGTGTGGCCGTGCCGGTGCCTGAGCCTGTGCGACGACTGCCGCGTGTCGCTGGCCATGAACAACTTTGACAAGTGCGTGTGCTGCCGGCGGGATGTCGTCAGCTTCAGCCGCATCTTTGTACCTTGACCGTCATTGTCAACGCCCGTTGAAAGCTGTTTCTTTACATTGTACTATGCCTTTTATTACTTTCCATAGCGTCTTTCTTGCCGACTTGTTATACGATCAGTCTTTCATTGTACATTTCCTCTTGGGCATGAGTCTATACAAATCAACCGTCACGTCTTCCCATACGATATTTTCTCAAAACTCGATGCAACAGAGGAGACTGACAGCTTTCTTCCTCGCCATGCTTCGTATGCATGGTCCGTGTGTAGGATTATTAACAGAAATATGAAGGGGTATCATTTGTATCTATAATAAACGTAAAACATATCTTGGCCAGTCTCGATCATGATCTGTCAGATGGCCGCCCACTCGAGCGTAAACGTCCGCACAACGGCGCTAACGCCTTCGCCTTCAGATTTTCCCTCGGTAGGCTTCGCACTGCCAATCAGCAATCCCTTCTTGACACCTGTCGCCAAGCGGCCGGTGCCGACAACATCCAGGAGCTTGATGGGCTCGTCCCATCCGTAGCTGTTCGCCACAAAGTGGGCATGGTACCGGAACGGGTCACCAGGATAGACACTGAGTGCGCCACCAAAGCGCAGACCAGGTGTCGTGAAGTAGCCCCGATCCGCAAGGTGGGCACGCAAAGCGGCCGACGCAAAGGATGACGTCGAGGCGAGCAATGTGCTCCGTGGCGGGATCAAGGCGGCAGTACCGTCGTCTTCGTCCTCTTCCCTATCCGCAAGGAGGCCAGCCGAAGTAGTCGGTGTGATCCGCACGAGAGGCTTGCTACTTGCAGCAGAATTGTCTTTTTTCTTGTCGTCCTTCTCTTTATTCATCTTCTCGGGCGTCGGCGATGTACCTCGACGGGCTCGGTCGGTTTTCATTCTCTCTACTTCCACCGGGCCTCCGAAGAGAAAATCATCTTCCTGTTGCATAACTTCCTCTGTGCGCGGTGGTGCCCGTAACAGAGGCTCCAAATCGGCATGGTCGTTTGCGCGATCAGTCGCCTTGGTCACCAGAATCTTGTGAGGGACGTCATCGACAGCAGTCTCGGTCGCGGATGCCGTGTCTATGTCGTTCGCTGCTGCTACTACAGGCTGTGCAGCTTCCGCTTCCCTTTCCAGTTCTGGCTCTGGCATTGCATCCGTCTCTTTTACGACGTCCTTCTTGCTGCTGTCGCCGGCCTTGTGGGCGGCTTTTTTGCTCTTTCGGCTGGCCGGTTTGGCAGCCTGGCTCGCGCGCACTTCAGCACCCCGCCGTTCGCGCTCGGCCATGATCTCGTCAGCCACCACCTGCGCTGCCTGCCGCTGACGCAGCACATTGTCCATGTAGGCACGGCGAGCGGTTGGCTGCTTAAGAGCTGCCAGGTGCGCCTGCCAGTCGTCTGCGACGTAGGCGGCACGGCGCTCGTATACGAGCCACCGTACCTCGTCGGCCGTCAACTCGAGCGGCAGACTACTAAAGACGGTCTGGTTGGGCGCTTGCGGAGTGATGCCAACGAGGACGGCACACAAGTCATGCTGGCGACGCAGGCGCGCGACGTCGGCGACATCAAAGACGAGATACCGCCCACCAATCTTTGCGATGCGGATCTTGTTCTTTCCACCATTTTGCTCTGTCTCCGCTTCCCCTTTTTCCCTTCTGTCGTTTCTGTCGTGGCCGACCGGCGAACGGGCCACCGACGACGCCATCGCTGGCAAACGAACACGCTTGCTTTCAGTCGCAGCTAGCAAAACCCTATTGCTATGGAAGCCATGTTAGCCAGCCGCTCTCGATGTAGGAAAAGGATGCTGAGCGGTAAAGACAAATAGTAGCAAAAAGACAAGCCCAATCATTTATTTTGGATTGAGAGAGTTAAGTTATCAGCATAGTATATGCTCAGGGGATTGACAGATTATAAACGTTGTGTAATCATATGGGCTTGTCTTTTGCATGGCAGGACATTGGAAAGAAATAGGGCGAGAGGGTGTCACGACTTACTCTGCGATGCGCGGATGGTTGGGAGGAGAGAAGGAAGTGAAAAGAGAAAAAACAAATTCGCTGGAGGAAGAAAAATGGACAACGGGAAATTTAGAGACAGCTGGTGGAAGCTTGGACGGTAAAATTTCGAGCCATGGTAGCCATTTTCGGTGGGGCTCCACCTGCTGGACCACAGCGTCGCGGCGCGGTGACGCAGGCGCAGAAACCGGCAGAATAAGGCGGTGAGAACGACTGCCAGAAACAACAGAGTAAATTACCACTTTAAGGCCGCTGACTCAAAACGCCATACCGTCTTTGACAGTGCTCGCAGGCGACTTTTCTTTGCCGTTGTCATCTTCAATCGGTGGCAAGCTGTACGGGTCGACAACAAGACCCTTGGAGCCGCTGACGCTGAAACACAGGTTTTCGTGCAGCGATTTGCCCTGCGGCGTGGCACCAGCACCACCAATCTCCGAGTACAGCTGCAGCTTGTGAACCTTGAACCAGCCCTGCATCTTGTCGGCGGGCGACTTGTCGTTGTGGGCGGACGACGAGGACGAGCCAGTCCTGGTGGCGGCCGAAGGCGGCCCCGGCGGCAGCGGCACCAGCTCGACGACGTTGTCGCAGAGGTTCTCGAGCTGGCGCACGTACTCGTTGTGGCGCTCGTACAGAGTCGTGGAGAGGGACAGCATGACCGTCAGGCGGCGACCATGGTCACGCAGGAGGCTGCGAAGACCCGCGAACAGTCCCAAAACGTAGGGGAAGCTCCAGCCGTCCATGGCGTAGAGCGTCGGGGCCAGGAAACTGGGCAAGACAACGCGATGGATCGTGGATGGCGGTGTCGATGCAAGACTGGCACTGATGGATGCGAGGAACGTGCGAATCGGCGAGTTTTCGAGCTCGGGCTGCAGCGAGGGCTGCAGGGGATTTGGCAGTGGAGAAGCGTGCAATGTGCCTTTGATGTCCGTTGGAGCCAGGCGTTTGGTCAGATCAAACGTGTGGCAGAAGGTAGCAATGGGCGTACCAGGAGTTCCTGAGTGAGAAGTTGGAGAGTGAGTGGAGTGAAGCAGTCAAGTAGGCCGTCGGCTTGTAGCGACATAGTTACGTACCTTGCGTAGATCCTCTCTGAGGCTTCGCCGTTGGTCGCGGTGCCAGCGCCTCGTAGCGCCATGCAATCTTCATCTTGTCACTGGCAGCATCCTGTGCGTGCTTGCCCCTGGACGAGGATGACGATGCGGATGCCAGTCCTGGGAGCTCTGTCCGCCATCCAGCGCCCACGCCCAGCACGTGGACATGGTGGCCTTGCACCAGACCCTCTGCCGCATACGCGCGCAGCAGGACGCTGGCAAAATCGGTCGTGCCCTGCTCCTCGACAAGCAGTGAGTGGCCCAGGACGAGTCCGCCGTAACCTGCCAGCAGCTGGTCGACGGACGCGGTGCCTGTGGATGTAATGGGCCGGCCGTCGTAGGGCGAAGGCCGCGCTCCGGCGTCAAGTGGTGGCAGTCTCGACGCTGGCGTAGGGCGAAGGATCTTCTCGTACTCCTTTGCAAGAGCTGCGCGGATTCTCTTCTTCTCGGGCTCGAGACGGGCCTGTTCCTCAGGGCTGAGCACCGTGCGCTCGCCGGGCTGCCACGTTGGCTTCCGGAGGGGCCTGTGCCTGGGGCCCGGCGACGACTTTCCCGGGCCAGGGGATGCAGTGCCTAGTGCCTGCCGTAACGGCAAAGCAGCCTGTAGTGAAGCGTTGCCAGGTCGCGCGGCAGGTGCGCCCCGGTCGATTGGAGACGTCTGTGGCCGCCGGGGCGAAACCTCACCAGCAGCCGTGCCGGATAGGACGACGTTGCGCTTTCGGAAGGACATGTTTTGCACAGTATTTGATAAATGGTATCCTGTTCAAACTGGCAAACAGAACACAGAGATGTGTATGAGTTGGTGCCTGAGAAGCAGAGGTTGTCGACGGGTTTGAGCTCGCTGTGGTTTTTTAGTGGACTGGCCAATCCGGTGTTAAAATTGTGGGGCCGTTTCTTCCACAAGAGGCAACTCCAACCTCTCCCACTGATGAAGGTCAATATTGAGATTCAGTGTACATATTGGTTCCGTGTTCATCAATTCGTTGTGCCTCATTTCGTATAGTATGTAGAATCTATATTAAAATAGAGACCGCTGTGTCGTGTAACCTCTGCAATATACGGAGGAGTACAGGGGTCAGGGCGAAATGCGAGGCCAATACACCTGGGCGGCAACTGTAAGCGATCTCGGTCTTTTACGAAGCTGTGTCCTTGGCCAGTATGGTAGTATGATGAGTTTAATATAATATAATTTGAATCTATCAGCGTTCTACTCGGAAGATGAGGAAAGCGGACTTGCTCGCAGTTTATAACACTGACACAGCTCTTGAAGTGCAGGTAGGTCACGTGCAGATATTTCAGCGCAAAGAGCCCCGCTGCCAAAAGAAAATTCGCAGCTAATCGTAGCCACCGGCAACATAATTTTTGAGAAAGCTCCCCAGCCTTGCTCGATTCGAACACTTGAACTACTAAACATCCCTCGCTGTCTGAACAATCAGTCGCCCACGACGAAACGATTCTCTCGCCCTAGTTGAATATTCCTCTGCCTCCCAGCGCACCCTCTACCCCATCGCAACCATGTCGGGCGCCGCGGGCGACAGCCAGCTGTTCGAGGACAACTTTACCATCACCGAGGTCGACCAGTCCAAGTATGACCGCGTGGCGCGGCTGTACGCGACGTCGACGGACGCGCAGACGGTGATGACGCTGGACATTAACACGGAGCTGTTCCCCTGCCACGTGGGCGAGAACCTGACGGTGGTGCTTGCGACGACGCTGTCGCTGGACGGTTCGCGCGAGGAGGACAAGGGCTGGCGGGACCTGTCGAAGCCGGGCGCACCGGGTTCGGGCGAGTCGACACTGGCGGACATGTACGATTACGTGTGCCACGGCAAGATTTACAAGTTTGAGGACGGCGACGACGGCCAGACAATGTAAGTGAAAAAAAAAACAAAAAGAAAAAGAAAAAAAAGCCTGAAAGATGCAGACGACACAAAAGATACTAGAAAGACGGGCTAACAACGTACAGCAAGGCATACATCTCCTACGGCGGCCTGCTCATGTCATTATCGGGCCCGTTCAAAAAGCTCACGCCGCTGCGGGTGGACTACACCTACCTGCTGGTGAAGAAGTAGGCGACAGAATGGGCCGTGGAGGCAGGGAACGAGAACAACAAAAGAGCGGATATGCTATAGACGAAGCAGCGGGAGGTCATGGCGTTTTTTGGCGTTTGAATATCATCTGGCACAAATCATTACTGAAATCAATCAAAAGGAGACCATCTGGAAAGACCACAGTGTGAAGAGACAGAGCGCTTTGTACAGTTTCCTTTCCAAACACGAGTTTCCAACCACGGTCCCTTGTATCCTCTCCATCCACCCTACGTGGTCTTGGTCTCCTTGTGGTGGGGTCCCGGGAAGGGCAGCACGCGATGCAGCCGGCTCACAATCGCGTCGTAGTCGGGCTCGTTGTCCCGCGTCAGCAGGCCGTGCCGCACCATGAAATCCAGTAGCACCACAGCGCAGTTGGGCTTGTACAGGCCCTGGGCGAGTTGGGCCCGCACCTCGTCCACCGTGCACAGCATAAACGACTCGACCTCGCCGTCCTTGGGCTGCGGGATTGTCGTCGCCGGCAGCGGCAGGTCGTACACCCACTCGCACTCGGGATAGATGTAGCCCGCCTCGCCGCCGGCCCGCTCGTCTGTAATGTACACATAAGTGATGATGCCAATGGGCCGCGCGGCGGCCCGCACCACAGCCTCGGGCAGCGACGCCTCCTCGTCGGCCTCGCGCACCACGCACTCAAAGGGGTCCTCGCCCGTCATCAACCCCCCCGCCACCGTGTTGTCGAGCATGCTCGGGTACGTCGACTTGTTGGCGGCGCGGCGGGGCACCCAGATCTTGATCGCCTTGGTTGTCGGGTCCACCACGTACGCTGACAGGTGCACACCGTAGCGCACGACGCCCAGCAGGCCCGCAGCCGCACGCTCGACGCTGAACAACAGCTCGCCCGTACGGCCGTACACGGGCCACGGCTCGTCGCGCCAGCCGCGGAGAAACTTGAAGGCGTCGGCGGCGCGCCAGTACTGGTTCAGCTTGTCGAGAGCGACGGTCCGCGCAGGCTCGGTCGTCTGCAGGCGCAGCAGCCGGTGCAGCGGAACGGTGCCGGACGCACTGGCCGCCGCTTGCAGGTCGACATCCGGGTCGAGGCCAAGCTTCTGGCGTTCTGCGGGCGAAATCGCAACGAGAGCGTCAAAGACGGCCCGCCGCATGTAGCCTATGGGATACACGGCGGAGGTGTCGGATGCGTCGGCACTGTCGGACCACTCAACCAGCAGCACGTCCTTCATGTAGGCCGCGTACTGCTCCGGCTGGGTCTTCTCGTAAGGGAAGCTGTCCTCATGTCAGTCTGATACGCCCATACTCAATGGCATAGAGGTGGCTGAACGTACGCATCGCAGTTGTTGACGAGGTCGAGATTGCTGTAGGTCTTTGCCATTGCGCCCTTTAGAGTCTAATAAGGTGAATGAGGAGTGGTAGGAGGTAATGAAGTTGGGATGTGCCAAGATGTACAAAGTAAGAAGTAAATGTGAGATCAAGTTTTACATGAATGAGGGTTCAAATAAGGGGAGCAAACAAATGACTCGTTGCCAATGGAGCCCTAGACAATCAAAGTAAATATTAGGCGGCGGCCAGGCGAAGGCGGACTGAACCTCAGTTCGGAGGTCGGGCAAGATCGTGCCGGCTTACGGAGGAGGCTCAAGGTCGGCAATCTGTCAACTATGGTTGCAATGTCCCATTGTTAACCACCGAACCGGCGCCGGTGAGGGCCGCCGACAGCCTTTAGCAGCCATTGCGCACTAGCGCTGCGAAGGTCGGCTTTTAACAAGGGAAACGGGAGTTCTCCCAAAGCTCCTTCCAAGCGAATTGGGCCCTGGACCCACTGCTGTGCTCTGCGCCAAACGCACTGGTCGCCAGCCCTGTCTAGGCGGAAGTTTGGCGAACAGCCTGGAAGGCGCTAGCAAGCCATCGTCATAGCAATTTTGGGAAGGAGGGGCCGGACGTTCATACGAAGCCTCATGAACTTCCTCGTCCGTCGTTGGAGATCTCAACCAGTTTTGGGGGTGCGCTTCGTTTTCTTGTCAAATCTCGATTCATTTCATCACATAAGTATCAATGATATTCCTCTGTTATTCTAGCTCATTTTCTTCTCGCCTCGGAATACGCTGCCGGGGCTTATACTACTCGTCATCTGCGACAGGTCCGACTCTTCTTTTCTCCTCTTTGGATGTCTTGAAAAGGAACTCTCGAGCGGACGCAACTCCCCGGCTCATTTAAAGAATAGAAGAAGAGCTTCATTTTGGAATCTCACAGCTATTCGCCCCATTTCGTCCCTTCTCACAATGGCGCAACCCCTCTTTGGTATCGTCCCCACGGGTCTGCCCGTCCTCACCACGCCCACTGAGGCTCCTTCACCCACATCCTTCCTCTACTCCATCGCCAGCACTCCCGACCGGCCGTTTAACCATGCCGTCGTCTTCTTGCTGCCGGGAGTCGAGCTGCCCCCGGGCACCGCCGCCGCCATCTATCTCGTCACACCCCCCACAGCCGGCGAAACAACGCCCACGTCGCGCTTCCTTGGCGGCATCGGTCCGGGCAAAGAGTCGGCCATTTTCAAGATTGGCGGGAACGCGTCGCCGGGCGCCCCGACGGTCATTGGCATCAGCATTGAAGAGGCCGGCAGCGTGGCCACGCGGGTCGAAGAGGTGCGGGCGTCGTCGGCGTCGTCAGCGTCGTCGTCTTCGGCCAGCAAAGCGCTCGTCCCGAGCAGCGGCAGAGGCTCAGCGGGCGGCCCGTCGACGCTCGTCCTCGCGCAGCGCATCATCCAGAATGCCTTCAACTTCCTGGCCAGCTTCAGCAGTGGTGGCGGCAGCGCCGGCGATGTCGTGCCGCTGCGGGCCTTTGAGGACTGGTGGCGCAAATTTGAGGGCCGCGTGCGAAGTGATCCGACATTTTTGGAACGGGCGCAAGAATAAGAAGATCTGTGTATGAAACTGGAGGGTAGTATCCTGGGTATTCTACGAGCGATTGTTTGATTTTTGTTTGCATGACAAGGTCTGATTTGGTTTGTCTTGTTTAAGAGTTGAGAAGAACTACGTCTTGAAAATCACACTGATGGAGTCACGGCTTGGCACCTCATGAAATATATCACTGCATTTTACAGGCGACAACGTCGAGATGTACAATAATCAAAAGTGGCTTTTGTCCATTCAACCTGTAAACAGAATTTCGTCCCGTATCTCCACCGTTCTAGTATCCTGGAAACTAACAATATGCAAGAATGAACTGCCCCTGAAAAAGGTGAAGGTCAAGGTACAAACAACGCCGTTCCCATACTCCGTTATGCTTCCAGCTGTCCCATGTGCCAAAAAACAAAAAAAACAAGGCGGTATAAGGCGACAATAAAAAGCTTGATAAAAATGCAATCACGAAGCAAAACCAACAAAAATAAAACAAAAAACAATGCGTCGCCTCAGTACACGCGCGCCCAGACAGGCCGCCTCTAGTCTTCCTGCAAGGGTGCCATCATGGGGCTCTTCAGTCGCGTCGGGCTTGTCGCACGGCTTCGCCGGCCGGCATTGAGCATCTGCAGGCTCGGTGCACCCAGGCCACCGAGGCCAAGCCGCTCACGGCTCTCTGTGCGCACCACGAGACCGCTGCGGTCCATAGCAGAATGGCTGCCCGCCGAGGTCCGAAGGTCGTCGAACTTGTCCACGCTCAGCGTCGGCGTGGCCAGGCCCGAGCGGCGCGCTGCGCCGGCGGAAGCCAGGCGTATACTTGATGACGCACTGCCGGGGCCGTCGCTGCCTTCCGAGCTGAGGTCCGTGTCTTCCAGATCGACATCGTTCAGCTCAAACTGGTCCATCTGGCCCTCCTCGAGCACACGCTCGTAGTCGCGCGAGTGCCGACGGAACAGCATCTTGGCGAGGCCGGCCAGCGCGCCGTTGCCATTGTTGGCGGAGCCCGAACCGCTGCCGATCGTGCTACTAAACCGGCCGGGCTTGCGTGGGCTGCCAGGCCACCGCGAGCGACGGATAAGCGTGCCGAACTTGTTGTAAAGGCGGACGCGGCGCTCCTTCTTCCGTAAGAGGAACACAAAGAGCAGCACGATCAGAAGGAAGAAGAAGACGCTCGGGATCGCAGACTTTTCGCGTGCCTTATCAAAGATGTCGTCTGCCTTGTCGCTCCAGTCATCGTCGCTCTTGCTCCCACCGCTGCCCACCTTGAGCGGCTCCCAGGTCGAGCCTGCATAGGTAAAGTCGGACGGAATGCTGCCGTCCTTAGAATTGCTACCAAAGCCAACGGCCACACCCTTGCCGGCGCCAATGGTGCTTCCACCACCGCTGCCGCGCACGTTGCGCGGTGGAATTTGCCCAGAAGCGTACAGCAAGATCCTGCCCAGCGTCCAGCTGACCTCAACGCTGTCAATCTTATCGACCGGGCGGAAGGGCGTGAGGTAGCTCGAGCTCTTGGACTCCTCCACAGCATCACCAGACACGTTGAGCCCGGGGAGTTTGTCGAGGCCGATGCGTGGAATACCAATGCCTTCGTGCAGGACGTTGATCACCCATGACGCTTTGAAACAGGCCTGCTGGGCATCTTGAAGCGTACGATTGATATCCTTGTCCTTCTTTTTCCGCGTCTCCTTGTCGGAACCACTGGTGCCCTCGATCTTCGCATCGATCTTGGACCAGTCCTGGTTGCAGAAATCAAGTACCTTCTTCTGGTACGTACTGAAGTCGTACGCAAGGTCGCCCTTCTCGCCGAAGAAGCCATGCGTGGAGTGGTAGTACTCGGAGACGCCAACAAAGTGGTTGATGTTGAAGTCGATGCTCGGGACCGGGTCGTGAATCAGACAAGGCTGCGAGCCTTCGCCGCAGGTCGTGTCCTTGGCCAAGAGAGGCTTTGTTTCGATCAAGCAGCTGGCAAAGTCGCCCGTGCCGACCAGGGCGGGAATACCAGACCCAGCGGGCCCTGCCAGTGTTCCGTCGAGTGTTGTCCGGAGGCCCTTGGGCATGCACGGGTCGGGGACGTCGACGCCGTTCGTAATTAGATCTTGGTGGGCATCGGTCAGCGACTTGACGTACGACTCGCGCGCCTTGTTGACGCCAAAGCCAAGCCACGTTGCCGTGAACACACGATGCTCTGCGGGGTTACCGTCGAGTGTGCGCAGGCGGATCAACTTTAAGTTGTCGGCGTGTTGGGCGGCCTCGGTCGTATTCGGGGCAAAGGCAATTTGGGCAGACGCGCCACCCATGTCGAGGAAGCCGTATGTGTTGTGGTTTTGGCCATGGTTATGCTCCTCCGGGTGGTCAAAGCCACCGAGGAGGTAGTTGGCAGCGAGCCAGCCGTAAAGGCCCTCGGTCTCGCCAGGGATGACCTGGATGTTCTGTGCGCAGTCGGGGAGGGAGAATTTGGTGTGCTGCTGGAGGTAAGAGCAGGTCTCGCGGAGCAGGGCAGTTTGCTGCAGTTGTGGGAGGAAGCGCATGCCGGCCGTGGCCATCAGAAAGATGGGAGTGTCAGCAACCATGTCTTCGGGGACGACTTCGAGCGCATAGTCGATGAGTTCCTGGAGATGGTCGGCGCCGACCTGCGCCGGCCGCTCGCCAAACGTTGAGATTCCGGGCCGAATCTTCTTTGTCCATTTTGTCTTGATCTTGGGGAGGCTGTGAAGTTCCTCTTTTGACGCGTCCTTAATGGCTTTTGATGGATCCTTCCAGCGGTAGACGTGCAGCCTGCTGCCAGAGGACCCGGCGTCGATAATGACACCCCATCGGTCTACAGAAAACAGACGTTAGCGACAAGAATTGTGAAAACCCATCTGAGAGGCCAGTCATCGCGTACGCTTTCTCCCCATCGCTGTTTTAGCAGGGGGGTTGGAAAGTCGCTATAGGATTCGAATGGTGCCGTTCGGATGATCGTGGTACAGGATGTGTGCGAGTGTGGACGAGAGCAGGCAACGTGGAAAGCATACGTCGAGTTCGGATTACAGCATGGGTTCTGAAGGGATCGAATTGGGTGGCACAGGGGTGGAAGGGAGACAGCGATTGAAGTCGTGGAAAGATCGACGGAGCAACCAGCAGCAAAGGAGAAAAGAAAAGACCAAAACGTTGTCGTAGCGAGTGACACCGAAAAGAATAAAGCGTAGCGCAAAGAAACAGAAAGGATGAGAAAGCACGGCAGAAGCGCCAAAAGGAGCGAAAGGGGCCTGCCAGTGGGTGAGAAAGTGACAGTCGCCCTTTCGCTACGGAGAACGAAAAAAATAAAAAAGGATAGTGACGAATGGCGATAAGCAAACAAGGGCGCGACGGAAGCCCACTGTAGCGGGAAATGCAGCCCCAAAAGATTGCGAACTATGCCTGCAATGTGGCGGACGCCGCAGATTACGACTTGTTACCCAAAGCGGAAAGAGCAATCATAATACGACGTATTAGGAAGTGGCCTGCCGTACTATTGGATGAATGCACGCAGAGCGCCTTCCACTGCTACCACAGACTGTACGCTAGAGTTGGCCAATTACTAACCGCACGTGCCAAGAACGGAGTACTAAGACGGGAACAGCGCTGGAAGCCCCCTAAACCAGCACCAGCAAAACCTCGTAATGCAGGAGGGCATGATCTGCCTGGGGATCCGATACGACGAACGAGCTACAGTGGCGTGTTCTTTTTTTAGTGCATTCAGTGCACCCAGAATAGATACATGGCTCCCCAGTAGAATGCAAGAAAAAAGCTGCAATATTGCATGATGCAGTGAGATGGTATCGGGCATCGACCAAATTAAGATACATGCCTCGTTTTTTTAGTGGTCTCGACACCTTTCAAAGTCCTGTCTTCTTACGCTCACCACGACCGAGACAGTTCAACGGCCATCGCATCATTTGCTTCAATGCCATACTTTGGAACGCCCTTCTTCGAAATGCATTTAGAGACAGACACTTACGAATGTTTCTCATTACCAGGTTATGACGAAACCCGCGTGGCGCGAGGCTGATGCGTCGTTTTCGTTCCTGAGACAGCGTTTGTTTGCGAATAAGAGGGGCTATTCGAGGTCCTTTGCGGCCGCTGTCTGAGTCCCCCAATTTGGCTCGACTGTTCCCTGTTTTGTTCTCGAACGGTCTCGGCACGGCCGCCGTTCGTTGCGCACAGATGGACGTGGGGAGCGGCACAGAAATGGCATGATGGAGATCTGCGTCTCTTCCACTTGTTCAAGCTTGAAGCCTGGGGCAACTTCGACAGGCATTGTTTACTGTTTGTTGACTTGCTTACTTTATGGGAGAAGGCTGTTTTCAGGCTGCACTAAAGGTGTATATATACATTTCTTTGTTTTCTAACGCAACAAGACGACGAGAAAAAAAGAGAGAACGGAGAGGGAAGATATGTCGAGGTGTTTATGAGAGCCCCTGCTCATACCAAAACAGAGCTGCGTCGTAAGTCGTAGCAATGGCCAAAACCAGGGGCAGTGAACCAGCACCGCCATCCCACGCCCGGCGCCTACGTCTACGAATATGAAGCACGACTACGCAGTCGTCACCAGCGAATCGACGGCACTTGCCATGGTGGTAGCGGCAGCCTTCAAGACAGTCGCCTCGGCGTCCTGGAGAATGGCAACCGGTGAAGGCGGTGTCTTGGGCGCAGCGCCGCCCTTGAGGTGGTTGGCGTACCAGACCAGGAGCGCGTTCCGATCCTCCAGAGCGGCCATGCGCTTGTGCATGCATCGCATGGCTCGCTGCATCCGCGCCTGCTGCGCAATGTACTGGGCCTGCGTCTCCCAGCCCTGGACACAGCGTGCCAAGAAGGCTTCGAGTTGTCGTGGCTCGCTCCAGTCAACGGGCCGCTGCGGCTCCTCAGCGTCGTTGGTCTCTGTGGTGGAGCAATTACTCGATGACGGAGACAGACTACCGTCCTTGTTGGGCACCTTGGTTGTCAGCGTGGAAATTTTCAGAGACAGTGTTTGCAAGAGGCCCTTGACTCGGGTGGCCGAAGCGGCCGTCTCCGCCTCAGACAGCTTGGCGACGACGTCGGTGTCGTCCCTTGCGTCAAGGCAAATAGAACTCTTCTCCTCACAGGGCGTTCCCACGAGAGTCGTAGTGTCGCTCTGTTCGTCAAACCTGTAGGTGAAGTCGCCGTCAGCGCCATCGTCGTCATCCGAATCGTCGGAATCGACCTCCAGCGGAACCCGGATCACACGCGCCTTGACGCAGGGGATTTTGCGGACGGTGCTGTGCAAATAGAGCTTGCGAGCTTGCGAACGGACAGCAGTAAGCCATTGTGCGTCCGTCATGCTCATCGACCTGGGCGTAGGGACGTTGGGCAAGACGCCTGGGCTGTCCATGGGTGGAAAGCTCACGGCCCGCATGATGCTAGGTGTTGGCGACCATGACGAGTCGCTGGGGCTCTGCGTCAGCGAGCAGTCGGTTGAAGTCATATCGGCTGGTCAGAGGAAGGAAGACGATAGTTTTGTGTTTCCCGTGTCGGTCGGGATTGGTATCTAAAAGATGGATGTCGGCAAAAGAAATATGAGTGTGCTGTGAATAAAGGCCAAAGAGAAAAGAAGTCAAAAGGCGGGAAAATGAAATATATAAAACCTCCGCCCCTGAACAAGGCTCTAACCATGTTCACTGTTGGCGAACATGGTCGACATTGTGTACTGCCTTGAACAAAAACAATGGGATGAAAGTTTGAATGTGGTCGCCATGTTGTTCAGTGGACAAGACGAGACATGAGACGAAAGGATCCCCGCCAATGATATGGGTTGGGACACATGACTATGACTGGCCAGTTTACAGGACCACCAACAAAGAACGCCCACCGCAGGGAACAACGGTAGATCCGTCGTCATGCAGAAGGTCTTTCTAAAACAGACAATGAAAAAAACGATGTAGAAGACGACTGTCCCTGGTCGGCTGGTCGTGAGGTTGCACTGGGCGGCCATTGGCTGTGACGTCATCTGCCGAGCAGGCAGCTACCATTCCTGCCATGTTCAGTGCCTTCGGCGCCAGAGTCGGCAAAACGGGCGCGCGTCACACTGCATATCGGACGAGAAAAGAGGAGAGAAGACAATGTACGCTCGTTTCGGCGGCAATTGTAGAAGTCGTTTCATTTCGTATTGTCCCACGCTGGCACCTCCCTCTGGCCCGTTAGCGACGCTGCTAGGCCGCGCCTGGCGTCAGTTGAATGATGTGCTCCAGCGGGCAGGTAGGCTGGGCCTGGGCCTGGCCAGTCCACGACCGATTGCGTTACCACCTGCTCAAGTAACTACTTTCTGAAAAGGGAAGGCACGAACAGCCTGTGACGGCATGTGTACGCAGTTTCCCGTCCAGTGTAGTTCCCGTTCGATAGCGTTGGTTTCCTTAAATATAGCTTCGTCCCGCAATCTCGTCTTCTTTCCTTCTTCTCTTTGATTCAAATTCACGATCGCAAGCAATCGTTCTACAGAGTCTTCGCCCTCAACCTACAAAGTACTTTCATCACTTCAATATCCAACACCGCCACCAACTACCGACCACACACCAGCCATCATGCCTTCTTATATTGTATGTCTTGAGCCTGCATCACGCGACCTAGTTCCGGCCTCTTTGAATGATGTTCTGACACGCCGTTTCAGCTGCAATTCAACGCCGACACTCCCAAGGAGGAGCAGGAGAAGTGAGTCGCGGCCAATAAGAGACCCAAGTCCAGCCAATGTATCTTGCATGGACCGTTACTAACTAGCTCGCTTTTCAACACAGGGTCAAGAAGAGCGTCCTTGACAAGGGCGGCAAGATCCTTCACGAATACTCTCTCATGGGCGGCTTCTCGTACGTTATCCGCGAGGCAACACAAAGTCAGCACAGACAACAAGAGGAGAACTGCTAACCAGCTGCTCACAGATTCGAGCTGCCCGCCGACCACATCCAGACTCTGGACGCTTTCCCGTGCGTCCAGAACGTCGAGGCTGACTCGACAGTTTCGACCCAATAGACAGCGCATCTAGATAGCGACAAGAGCCATGTTTGCCAATAATTTAATGCAGGACCTTGCGGTCTTTCACCTTCCCAGACGCTTGTTGCACGGAGCATGTCCGTGAATCCATGAAGAACAAGAAAGCAAATGCCCGCAAACCCATTACAGCCTCCTGCCAGATTCAGCAATCTTGCACGCAACGGTCGAAAGGGGCTGATCGCTTGGCCAGAAGGTACGGCCAGGACGGTGCAGCCAAAAGGTGCGGCCGCTGAACGCGCTTCCCGTGCGTACCCCTCAGCCGCTATCAGTGGCTGCACCACTCCATACACCGTCATCGATTCGCGGCTTGTAGTGGCCTTCAGCCTTTATTTGCCGCTGGGACGGTCGATCTGCCCCACCATTCTCCCCTTCTAAAAGCTTAGAATACGATGTAAGCTTGCTGTAACTCACTGTAGCTCACTGTAGCCTGTGCTTCGCACCAAAGCTGGGGGAACCAGACCAGGTCCGCCCCACACCCAGCCCGAGCGAATCACGCGTCGGGGGCAGTCGCACTATGACTCTTGACATCGGCCTGTCTATTTTGTCGATATTTACAACGTCTACTCCGCAAGTTTTTGGTCTTCGTCGTGTCCGCCAATTTGTCTCACTACGACTCTGCGGACGAATCCGCAATGCTAGAACCATGAAAACACTCAAAAGGCCATGGGCGGCCGTGTCGGCCACGGCCTCCTCGTTCTCTTCGTCAACCTGTCTCTGCCGCTCCTTTCCTGCTCCGCTCGTCGTCAGCAGCTGGCCTCTCTCCACATCCCAGCGCCGTCCTTACTCGTCACCGTCCCCCTCTTCCCCCTCTTCCTCCTCTTCCTCCTCTACCTATTCATCCAGCAGTCATGACGACCTGCCTCCGCTCCGCGACGAGGACATTGTCCGCCTCGCCAAAGAGCCCCAGCACCAGCTGCGCCTTGCGGACTTGGTCCGTCACGGCTGGCCGCCCCTCGGCGAAAAGGCCCTGTTGCAGAGCGCCAACTTCTCGCTCGACCTCATCCCCGTCCGCCTCGCCCGCCGTCTGCAGGCCCTCCGCAACCTGCCCTACATTGTCGTCTCCAACAGCCACGTCCGCCAAATCTACCGCAACTACCGCCACAGTCTGCGCTCACTGCTGCCCTGGTGGCGCCGCCGCCGCGCCCAGGGCGGCGGTGCCATCACTACGCTCGACGAGGAGATTGCCTTCACCGACGTGCTCGCCGAGCTGGTGACGACGCACCAGAACACGATCCCCATCCTAGCCCAAGGCTTCTTGGAGTCGCGCAAGTACATTGCGCCCGCCGACGTCACCACCTTCCTGGACGAGCACCTGCGCGCCCGCATCGGCACGCGCCTCATTGCCGAGCAGCACATTGCCCTGCACCTGAGCAGCCGGCCATTCTATGGGGTGTCGGGTGCAAGCCCGGGAAGCCCAGGAAGCCTAGGAAGCCCCGGTAGCCCCGGCAGCCCGGGGGACATTGTGGGTAGCTCACAAGCCGACGTGAACGCTGCTGCCGCCGCCGCCGCGGAGAACAGCGAAACGGCCCCGCCGACTAGCGAGGCGTCGTCCTACATTGGCATCATCGACACCCAGCTGCGGCCCGCCCGCACGATTGACAGCTGTGCGGGCTTTGTGGCCGACATTTGCGAGCTCAAGTACGGCGTCCGGCCCCAGTGGCGCATCGACGGTGAGCCCGACACCACGTTCGCCTATGTGCCCATGCACCTGGAGTACATTGTCACCGAGCTGCTCAAGAACGCGTTTCGGGCCGTTGTCGAGAACAGGATGCACCGCGATCCGGTCGTCATCACCATTGCCCCAGAGCCGTCCGGTGGCAGCAGTAGTGTGGCTGGCAGTGGCAGCAGCAGCAACCATTACAACAACTACAAAAACAACAACAATGGAAACCAAAACACCAGCAGCATTCTGCCCCTCGACGACAACGCCCCCGGCGTGACCATCCGCATCCGCGACCGTGGCGGCGGCATCTCCCCAGACGTGCTGCCCAACATCTGGTCGTACTCCTTTACAACCTTTTCCGACTACGACGACCTGCCCGTGGGGACGGCGCCCGGCGGCGGTGGCGACGTGAGCGACGGGCTCAATATCATCGCGTCGTCCAACAATGGCGGCAGCTCCATTGCTGGCCTGGGCTACGGCCTGCCGCTGAGCCGCGCGTATGCCGAGTACTTTGGCGGCGGTATCGCTGTGCAGAGCCTGTATGGATGGGGCACAGACGTGTATCTGCGCCTCAAGGGTGTTGGCAACATTGAGTAAGTGTGCACACAGAAGGCCTGCATCTCTATTTCGATTCCAGGTTCACTAACACGGCCTAGATACAAGCACCGGTGATTTTGAAATTAGGCGTGCGATATAATGAACTGAGATAGGATAATATAATAATACCACTGGGAAGTCATTCTGTGACAGTAGCCGAGGCGAACAGAAAGTACGCCGTATGTGTAGGCATATGTTCGTAAAGCACAATTTCACTCTTGTGTCTTTAGTAATGGTGACAGGCTACGCACTCTGTCCCAAGCTGAAGAGCAAGATCAAGGGACAAAATAGCAGCAAATGATTAGGTGTCGTATTAAGAGGCTCAACGCATAGGTACTCATAATCATCCAGAAGCGAACTAGGACTGTAAGAAGATGGCATAAACATACTAACATAAAAATGCGGTTCGTAAGTCCCAAGTCTTTCCCTGGAAGAAGTAGTATTATGAGAGTTTGTAGAGAGATGGCAATATATGGCTGGATCAAACAATAAAGTAAGAACAAGAGACAATAAGAAATCGACGACGGAAAATGCGAGTGGAAGACAGAACAAGATCAAAAACAAGAACAAAGGGACGCCGCCGTACGTAAAATCAAATAGAAAGGAAAAGGAAAAGCTAATAGTGCGTGTGCAAAAACCTGCCTGTGGCAACCCCGGAAGGGGTCGAGATAAGAAACAATAACCCAAAAATTCCAAAATATTATACCTGACCCATATGCTTTTTGTTGTACCAGTAGGGAAGGGACAAGACGACGACGACATGTTTTTACATGTTGGCCAGCTCGTTGTCGATCTGGCGGTCCATAAAGGTGCGCCGTTCGCCCGTGAGCTCGGTCTGCAGGCGCTGCTCCACCAGAGCACGCACCTGCTTCTTCGTCACTGTGTCGAGGTCGACCTCACGCAAGACTGCCTGGATCGCCTCGACAATCATGCCGTCGTCGGGACCAACATTGCCGCGTTGGAAGTCAAACGACATGACCGACTGGTGCGCCGCCTCTGCGGCACCCAGTGGCTGGCGCGCGCCGCCGCTGAAGCCAAGGTTCGACGTCGACGCGCGCAGACCCTGGCCGCCCAGAGCCGGCGAGATGTTGGACACGGCCCGCAGGTTGCTCATCGAACGGTTACCCAGTGCATCCTGGTATGGGCTGGCCATGCGCTGGATACCAGTGCCCATGCTCATCATCGACTGGCGGTGCTGCAGCGGGTGGTCTGAGTAGCCTCCCATGTTGGGCACCGTCGAGCTCCGGCCGTAGAGACCAGGCGACATCTGCGACTGTGGGGGCATGTAACTGCCGCGGGCACCGAGGCCCGCCAGGACCGACGGCTGGCGCACCGACGAGTACATGGACTTCATGTCGTCCATCTCATAGCCATCGTCGTACATGCCCTCGTGGACGCCCATGCCCTTCTCGTTGGCGCCGCCGCCACGACGGCCCGGCAGGTTGTTGATGGTGGCGTAGTCGTCCCAGCGCTGCAGAGGGATGGAGCGCGGGTCGAAGCCCTCGTCATCGGCCGCAATGATTTGTCGCTTGCCAGTCTCGCCAATAACGACACGCGTATTACCCCATGAGAAGTTGTCCTGGTTCCAGAAGGAGTACACGGGCAAAATAAGCGAGTAGATCGGGAAGGCAAGGATGTAAATAATCATCCAGCCAACATGCTGCCACTGGCGCTTCAGGATGAAGATGATCGCCTGGAGACCGTACACCGCAGCCAAAATAACAATGGAGAACAGAGGGAAAGCGCCCTTGTGCGTCGAGACGGAGTAGATCAGATACGCCAGGTACGCACATGTGGACGGGAGGATGATGGTACCGAACAGGTCGATAAAGACAATGAAACGCATGCCAAAGAAGCAGAAGCCGCACATCTCCTTGAGCCACATAAGCTCCACCAGGTTGTGGATGGTTGAGTTGATCCACCGCCGGCGCTGGGAGAGAAGAACACTCCACTTTTCGGGCGCGGCCGTCTGACAGTAGGCGTCGGCAATGAACTTGTACGACATGTACGGGAAGTGCTTGGTCATGAGTGTCGTCAGGAAACGATCCTCGCCGAGAGACAGCAGGTTCTTCTTGTGCAGGGTGTCGACGACGCAGTCACTGTACTCGCGAATGACAGCGTCCGAGATAATGAGCGGCTTGCCACGGTCGGCAGTACGGAGACGGTACATGGAGAAACTAGATCACGTTAGAACACTGGAGATTTCAATATGATTCGGTAGGGAGGGGGGGAGCAGGGAATTTCAACGTACCAGCCGGGCAAACAAGTTACACTGCCGAATAGCGACTCGAAAGCCTTGGCCATGTGATGTGAGATAAAGTACTCATACACCTGAATCATGGTCCACCATGAGCGTTCTTCGTTCTGCAAGCTGGTTTCACCACAGATACCGGCGATCTTGGCGTCGTTCGCGCAGGCAGCCACAAGACGGTTCAGGGAATCTTCACGAACACACGTGTCGGCATCGACCATCAGCAAGTACTCATATAGCTCCGGGTCAACACCAATGACGTTGTTGATTTGGTGGAACATTTCAAGTTCGAGCGGGTTCATCGGAGAGCGGTGGTGGACGCGGTTAAGGAAGCTCATGACCATAATCTGGGAGTCACGCTTGCCACGGTTACCGGGCTTGGCCTTGCCCTGCTCCGACTCCTTGCCAACCTTGACAATCACAATGTATGGGACGACGTTGCCTTCGAACTCGTACAGACCCGAGTAGACCTTGCCATAGTTGAGCTGCTCGTTGCCGGTACCAACAGACTTGAAGGGCAGAGCTGGAGGGTCAACCTTGGGATCCACACCAAGAATGTCGAGAACAATCTTGGGCGTAGGACGGTCGTTGCCTTCACCGACGATGACACCATCACAAATGACGCAGATAAGCTTCCGCTTGTTGTCGTACTGCAGGGCCGTGAGCGAGTCAAGCGCCTTTCGGAGCGAGTCTTCACCCTCTGTGTAGGCGGGAACCTGGCAGATAACAAACTTGTCCTGGGGTGCAGGCCGGCGCTTCGACCCGAACTGCAGCGCAGACAGGAACTTGATGGCGATGATGGCGCAAATGATAATAGTGAACGCCAAGAGAATGTAGCCGTTGACCTGGCAGCGGGCCGACTTGCGGAAGTCAGGAATACCAACGTAAAAGTTGTTGCGGATACAGTTCATGCTGTTTGCAATGTTGGCCTTGGCCGTGTTGTTATTGGCTGCCGAGTTAATGAGGTTGTTCCAAGTCTCCGTAATGTCAGTACCAGGGGCGTTCTTGACAGCATCAGTGAGGTCGCTGTTCAAGAACCTGTACTGCGCCAGGTTGTTCATAAGCTTCAGCGTGTAGAAGTAATTGCTTAGGTCGTAGACGCTGCCTTCGTAAATTACCCATTGGTAGTTATTGTTCTCGCCCTGGCTCTGAATGTCACCCTTGGACCAAACCAGATCGCCGTGGTAAAAGGCCTTGATCTTGGGCTCAAAGGTCGCAGTGTACCAGTCGGCGTTGTGCAGGTTGCTGCCGGTAACGGGCTGCAGCTGGCCGGAGGTGTGCTCCGCGTCAGGGACGTTGAGGGTGGTGTTGAACGACAACGCAAGCGTCTTGTCAGTGACGAGACCCGGACAAGAGAGAACCAAAGGAGGCGCGAAGTACGGGTCAAGAACGAGGCCAGCCAGGGGCTGCATGTTCGTCACCGAGACATCGCGACCGACGATATCACTGTGCTGGACCTTCCAGAACTTGGAGATATCGTAGACTTTGCCGTGGATGGCAACCCAGAAATCGTTGTCGCCTTGGTGAGAGCTGAGCTCGGTGGCCGTCCATGCTTTGTCGTAGTTGGGGCAGAGAAGGCGGCCAAACGCGACAATCCAGAAAACAAGAATAGCGTTGAGCAGGAAAATCAGCATACAGAGAACAACTTTCTCCCGCCATGCCATGCGGACATCAGGACGCTTCATGCGGCCGACGTAGCGAAGCAGGGGCGAGGGAATCCAGAAAGTGAGAGCCCACACAAAGGCCACCCACACGCGACGGCTCGTCGTGATGGGTTGTGAGGTAATGGTCTTGCCGTTGGCCAGCTCGGGGTCGAGGCCGATGAACTCACCCTCGTCGTTGTAGTAGAGCTGGCCACGCATGTCGTCACCCTTAAGACCAAGACCATAGTCACCCTTCATGGCACGCTCACGTGCGGCAGCGTGGTGTGTGCCGCCCGTGATACTAGATCCCATGACGGACGGAGCCATGCCAGTGCCCATGGCCATGCCGCCCACAACGCCCATACCAGCCACGCCGCCAGGACCCAGCGGCGAGGGGCCGACAGACAGGGCGCCCTGGCTGGCATTGCGTTGGTGCTGGTGAACCAGAAGCTGATCCTGGCTGCCGTTGGAGGTGCCGTCGCCCATCATTGGCTGCTGGAAGTAGCCGCTACCATTGGCAGAATAGCCAGACTCCATGCCTTGGGGCAGGTTCATCGAGGTCATGCCAGGGGTCATGTTAGGCATGCCCATGCCGCCTTCGGGCTTGAGGTCCAGCATGCTCTCGGCTTCCCACCATGCATTCTCACGCATCCAAATGCGCTCGGTGCCAACAACGACCTCGCCATTGCTCCAGCCACGCTCGAGCACCCAGCTCTCAATGCCATCACGACCGTCTCGGCAGCCAAGAGAAGCGTACCGCTGAATGAACTCATCATGGTCAAAGTCGGCCGTGAAGTCCAGATGTTTGTTACGGCGGTTGGCCCATTCAGGCAGGCGCCAGGCGCGAAGTTGACGCGAGACTGTACCGGCAGACCAGGCCGAGTTGACGGACGGAAGAGCAGCCAGACTGGCCGGGGACTCATCCGTGGGGTGGATGGAGAGGTGGTACCACACACGGCTGCTGCCGAGAACGGTGGCCAGATCAAGACGACCAGCACGACCCAAATTGATGCCCTGGCCCTCCTCGGGCATCAGGAGGGTCTTGAGGAAGCCGTCCGAGTCCGCAGACAGGACAATCTTCTCGAGCAGCTCCTCCCGCTTCTCGAGGATGTGTGTACGCTCACGGCCGGCTGGGCCGGTCATGATACCCAGATCAGGGGCAACGTCGTTGACTGCGTTCTCCATCTCGCGGAGCACAGACGTGCCGGCAGCGGCTACATCGACGCCATCCTGCTTCATCTCTGCGTTGATGCCCAGAGTATCGTCAAAGATACCGCGGAGCGACAGAGCCTTGCCGAGAACGGGGTCGGGAATCTCAAGAATGGTCAGGCAGACAGTATCACCGTTATCTTCGTTGGAGGTTGGGGTTCGAGCGCCATGGCCGCCCTCGACGGACTCGTCGCCATCACGGATACGAGCCATCTGGGCAGCAATAGCGGCATTCGCTTTGGAAATCACCCAGTCTACCAGGGCCTCGTACAGCCCACCAATGAAGATGCTGCGGCCCTCCGTAGAACATCCGCGGGCCAGGATCTCGGGTTCCACGCCGAGAAGGCCGCTAACATCGTCGCAGACCTCCTCCAAAATCTCCTCGTCGACATCGTAGTCAAGGGTGTTGCCGAGTTTCAGCAGGCCAGCAAGAATCGAAATGAGATTACGGTGGGCAGAGCCCTTGATACCAATCTCCTTGAGGGCAGCGCGGAAGTCGTCCGCAGCAGCAGCATCATCGGCGGTAGGGAGGTAGGATGGAGGGTCGTAGGTGCCGGAGCGAGACAGAAGTTTGTAGTCCGCGGCCGACTTGAGGCCAAGGAACTCGCGCTCGGCAGGGGTGGATATAGAGGTGAGGAGGTAGTAGAAGACGTCAAAAGCACGGTGGCCCTTCTCCGAGGGAACCTTGAGCAGGCCCCGCAGAGTGTCGATGCCACCCTGGGACAGCGCGATCGAGCCGGCCGTCAGGCTGCCGGCAAGGTTCAGGGTCAGCGTAACACCGAGGGCCGTCTGCAGCGGTGTCGACGGGTTGTACGGGGTGACGCAGCGAAGGAAGGGCCGGATGGCTTCGAGGGACTTGAAGAGAGAGGAGGGAATGTCCAGCGGCAGCGAGGCGAGGAAAGGGTTCAGCACCGACGGCGCGGATGAGTGGAGAGAGCCGAGGATGATGCAGCCGTCCTCAGCACGGCGACGGGCATGCTCCCAGGCACGCGTGGCGAGGGCGGCGTCGACAGTGCCGCCCGGCTGGCCTTCTGTACCGGGCTGGTTCGCGGTCAGCCACGTGTTGACGACGAGGCTGGAGCCGGCATCGAGATGATACGGCGAGGAGGACAGGTAAATGTTGTGGATGGCGTTGAGGAGGGTAGTCGTCGAGACTTGGGACGACTGCTGAGCAGCGCCGCGCGGGCCTTCCGAGGCCAGCGAGTACATGGACATGCGGTTCGCCATGACGGGCAGTTGTCGAGCAGCGGTGCTCGCAGCCGGTTATGGGAAGCTCACCGAGCAGTCCAGGCCGTGAGGTTGAGCGATGGTGGCGATTGTATCTACCACGGGAGGAAAGTGTTCCAAGGCGAGGGGCGGGAAGGATATGGTTTCGGAGTAAGAGCAAGACGAAACCAGGATCGGTAGAGCGCGTCGGAAGAGGACGGACACGCCACGATGTTGCAGTAAGATCGAGCAAATCGGGGGGGAAACGAAAAAGCGAACAAAAATAATAAAATAAAAAGCGTAGGTACTAGCGAGAGGAAGAAGGGGAACTAGAAGCATCCAAAGGAAATCTCCAAAACAAATACAAGAGAAACGAACGAGTCAAAACGACTGGACGAAAGCAACCGCAACAACGAGTGACGGCGGTTGGCAAACGAGGTGACAATGGGGTTGAGAAAGCAGGACGAAAAGACGAGAAGAAGCAAAAGTGAAAATGGCGATGGAAGAGAACAAACGGACTGCAAGGGAGACAGAGCCACCGGTCGCAGTTCCCTGTTGGGGTGTGGATATGGGGAAGGCACGGCTCAGGGGCCAAGCCTGTCAAGAGACGTCGCTACGGGCCAGGGAAACAGCAGGAGGCAGTGGTGTGACAGAGGCTCAAGCAGCGTGAGAGATCCTGCAGTAGCACGCAGGACAGGATTTACGGGGTTCCCTATGAGCTTGAAAGCGTGGCCAGCGGGCATTTCACAACACACCAGCAGGTATCTTATGGCTATTGCCTAAGTGGGCGCCCTATACGAGGTGCTTTCGGAAACAAGAGGTACGAGAAACTGGCCGCAGTTGGGCAAGATGTGGAATCTCGGTGGCTCTTTCCCTAAACTTGAACGACTCGGGTCAATATGTCAACGTTGGCGGGTGAAGGCAAGTGCATAATACGGGCTGGAATGAGATTTGACAGGGCAAATCAAAGGGAGAGAACGATCGAGGCAATAAATTTCCGTGGCAGGTAGCCATACGAGAGGTAGCCAAACAAGCCATACAAAAAAGCGTCGATACTTCCGCGGCGCAGCCAGAGCGGGAGGCGTGCCAGCAAAACGAGCGCCTCAGCGACCCAGCAATGTGGGCAAACGCTGCCGCGCGCGTTCAGGGGCAGCCAGTAGTTACATGCCTGTGGCGGTCCCCTTGTTTACCAACAGCAGACCAAAAAAAAAAAAAAAAAAAAAAAACAAAGAGCCTTTTGGTTTGCAGGGCGAGTCGCGATGGCCGTAGTCCATAATAGGACTAGCGCTTTGAGGATCCGGTGCTCTTCAGGGGTGTGAGGGGTAACGCTTGGGTCCAGTTTATTTTTATTTTTGTACCTCTCAGCCTCGGTCGCCTCTCTTTGATCGTTCTAGCCATTGCTACCGGGCCAGCCCATTAGCAATCCCAAAGAGGCTAGTTCTGGCCGAAAAGGGGCATGCTCCAAAAATATGCTCTGTGCAAGGTCCAGTGAACAATTTGGGCCTGTGGCTTTCGGTGTCGTATTACTACGGGCCGGCAAGAATCACGCAGCATCCTCGTCGCGTCACAGAGTGGGAAGACAATAGGGAGGAAGAGAAACGAGAGAAAGAAAAATGTGAGGGAAAAGGAAAGGAAAGGCTCCGTTAAAATAAAATAAAAAATAAACACACCACAGGGCATTCACAGAACGTCGACGGACAGCACGATCGCGCGATGTAACAGAATCGTTTCTCATTCTGACCACAGCGTAGAGATTTTCACGCAACGCACCCAATACGATTGGCAAAGTAGCAGGCCGGCATCCATGTGTGGGCGAGTGACGCACCATTTTGCTTCATTTTGTGCCCCGATGGAAGCCTCGTAAACGGGAAGAGGTGGCCCAAGTGGGTGCGTAAAGCCGGCACAAGTCACCAGAATACGAGGCCACAGAGTGACGATTGACTGGCTGTGTATAAAAGGGTGGCTTGGTACGTTCTGGAAAACACGCCAGGGATCCACCATCACGAGCTTTCAGGTTTGAGTGTGTGTCCGTAACATGATGCAAAGGAGACGACAAGGGGGAGGGCAACAACCAGGCGGCCCAGACCACATCCTGTCCAAACAAGTGTGCAGACAAAGCATTCAGCCAAAACACGAGGCCACTTTGTGGCCACATACGTGCATGTGTGGTTGCTTTGCACGAGGACTTGCCTGCGTTTTTTGGCTGCTGTGTCAGCGGAGATGCAGCCGGGCTTGTCGGGCAGGACGGAAACCCCAGTTTCTGGCGACTCTTTGGCTGCAAATAGTCCGGGACAACCAACAAAAGCCGAGAAGCAAGTAACGTGCTAGTAATCCGTTGCCAAAGATACGAGCCGACTTGGAGGGAAGGGGGAGGTGTCGGCTTGTGTTAGGCCGCTCTTGTGAGACAAGCCGAAGCACAATAAATTAGCAGTTTACGAGTCCTCTTAAGTAGTGGAGGGGAGTCAAAACATTGATGAACATTTGGAGAGACGAAAAGCCGAAGCATCGCCAGACAGTGAGTCTTCAACCTCAGCATTTGCAAAAGAACAAACCATTCTGTCGACCGTGCCTTGTGATTCGCCGCCCACACTTATTTTTAGGTACAGTGGGCGAGTGTGGCCGATAAGTCAGGATGGCAAACACAAAGTGTCCAAAAGGCCTGGATCGCTACTCGAAGCATTTTCCTGCGTAGTCTCAAGACGAGCAGGGCTTGATCGATGCTTCTCATACATCGTATTTTGTCCAGAGAGTCCCTATTTCTTCTTGTCCAGAGCAGTGGATAGGAACGTAATTACGACGTATTATTTCGTACTCTGACATAACTTACACCGTCGTGACAACTCAATGGAATGTACGTCGTTCTCCGGTCGATAACCCCGTCGACAGCCCATTCAATAGGAGATCAGCACCACTGACGGCAGCCCAAAAACAGGGGAAGATTACAGAGACATCGGTGACAGGTCTCTCCTTGCTTTCTGAGGCGCCGGCAATACGCAAATTCAGGAGCAGCGCAGCTGAGAAAAAAAGTAGACTTACCATAGATGCGCTTTGCCATGTGCAGCCCGTGATCATTATTAGTGTTGACTGGCGAAAAGTCCATGGACAATCCAGACCGACCAGGCCAGGCCTAACAACGCCATGCCAACGGACCTGGCTTGTGGTCAATGACCGACATACATTGTGGGGGCAACAAAAGAGAAAACAAGCACTTGCCAAAGCAGACCAGAAAAGGAGGCGATGCAAAGCGAGTTGGGAAAGCAAAGCAAACATGCACGCAAGATCCCAAAGAAGCCAAGCTTCAGGGGTTTCCGGCTTCCTTTTGATGAATGTGTCGAGACTCCAGACGCTCTGGACCCCTGCGCAAAATTTTCTCGCACTGGCTCTGATAGTTTTGCGGCCTCTTTTTCTGGAATGAATCCTTTGAAATATTTTCGTTTTCGTGTCTCGCTATGTGCTGCCTCTCTGTCTGTCCCACTTTCCTTTCAGGGGCAAGATGCGTGCACGTTTTCCCGTTGTCTATCGATGTACTCCATTACCATGATCGAAAAGCTCGGCATGCAGCCTCCTCTGGGATTTTCAGGTTTCTTATCCGAGATGATCGCAAACAAGCAAGGGACAAGACCACACCACAGCGATTGACGAGCGCAGAAATCGAAAGCTAAGGAGTTAGGGGGTGGCATATTACTGCCGGTAAGGAAAGGATAGGCAGTTCCTCCGTCTCGACGGAAATCCCCACACCACCATTTTTCGAATTGGATTATTATGGACCAGGACAGTCATTCCTCTGCGATCCGAGGCAAGGGTCAGAGCGCTGACAAGAAAAAGATGCATGGATAATAGGATCCCAGGATCCCTGAGGGTCACACTCGCGGGTGGCATCCTTGTGGAGCAAAAGTACCCTGAGAGCCCATTTTCAAGGGTTCTGTTGACCAGAGCACCTACAGCCAATGAAAGCCTGCGGGAATGACAAAATAGGGGCTGAGGGGCCTGCAAGAGCGCATCCAACAACGTAAATTACGAGGCCAGAGCGGCGCCACACGTCGCAAAAGTCGACAACTACGGCAAATGACTGGAGAACAGGCAACAGTGAAGCAAAAAGATACCACGGAGAAGAAGCGGTTGAGGCTGGTGCTTAGAGACAGCTGCAGGCGCTGACATGGCTTTTGTAGCAGCCACCAGTCATCATGTTGGCTATTCAGAGGCAGTGTCGATGCGCTGGCCGTTTCTGGAACGGTTGTCATGTTCTGGCACGGCCTGGTATGTATTAAGGGCAATTATGCTGGAGTTCTCAGCCCAGTTAGTTTTACCTCTCCTCTGACTTTCATACCGCTGAAGCAAGCGCTTCCTCGGCCTTACTCCCAAAATCCAGCGTCCCGTATAAGGCACCCGCCTGTAGGATCTGAGAAAGCCACACGTAGAGGCAAAACATAGGCAAAGCTGTAGTAAAAAAAAATGAAGAAAAAAAGACAATACTGCAGGAAGTGATCAGAAAGGGAAAAGAGATGCAACGCCCACAAATGGAGCATGCCGCCGCGTCTCAACCGAGCCACTGCGTGCCGTTGTGACATATCTCTCGCCGTGTTTTGTCTTGCCCAGGTGTCATCAGGAGGGGCACGCGCCAGCGCGTCGGCCTCTGCCTCGTTTCGACACGAATGTTGATTCCTCTCACGAATCCAACGCTCCATCGTCAAGGCAAAACACAATATGTAAAGACACAGCGTAAATGATCCCGGGCAAAGAGCAGGACACACGAAACGTGCAAGCTGGTGCTGTGCAATCGGAAACAAATCATCCCCAGCAGCACTACGTCTCTATCAACCTCAGATTCGCACCTTATTAAGTCCAGAAACGAGATGCGATCTGGTTGTCGGTATTGTGGAGATTCTTGAGCTAGGGCAGGCGATGGAAAGAAAGTTGAATTGATCGCAATTTATCGGTTTTATCGATTTTATCTCGCCATTTAATATGCCCTAAACGCTCTCCTGGAGCTACCTGGAAGCTACCTAAAGGCCGACTCTAAG